GTCCCGTCTGCCCCCAGTGGCTCACACACAGACACACACCCCTGCACACTTGCTCGGTCCCCCAGCAGCTGTGGTCTGAGCCTAGGAGGCACCAGCGGCCTCAAGGGCCCACAGGTTCGAGCACGAAGCAGACGGGCAGCAAACAAGTACATGGAAAGTCACTCCAGAGGGCCAGGTTCCCAGAGAATACCACCAGGAATCGAGGGAGAGAGACCCGGTAGACCCCTGTGCTGGGGTGGGGGGGGCATGTGGAGGAGCAGGGGGACAGCAGAAGGGAGGTGGGGACAAGGGAGCAAAGGGGAGTCCAGACGCCTGGAGAGAGGGAGGTAGGCGATGGCCAGGGGAGGACAAGGGCCATGGGCTGGTTTGTGTTCTGTGCGACAATAGGGAGCCATGGAGGGTTGTAGGCAGGAGAGAAGCATGGGCTGGTACTGGGCTGGGGGTGGCTGGGGAGGCGTGTCCAGGAGGCAGAGACAGAGGGGCAGGACAGGAACGGAGGAAGGGAGGGGCCCAAGACTGCCCTGCCCCACAGGCTGGAGAGTCTGGGGAGACCCCCTCACTCTGCACCCTCCCCGACACCTGCAGGGTTCCCAGCAGGGTTCTCCAGGCTGCAGGGGTGGGGGGGTGTGAGCCCAGGCTGGTCCTTCAGAGGTGGGGCCTGGCCCTGCAGAGCCCCCAGCTGCCCGCCTTACCAGGGCTGCAATCTGGCCCTTTGCACATGGCCTGTTCAGAGTCTGGTCCATGGGCCCTGAGGCCCCGAGGGCTTGTGGGTTCCACGTGCTCGGGTCCCCTTATTTCCTAAGTGGTCTCAGAAAACCCCTCTACCCGCTGGGTGGGCTCCCGGCAAAGCTATGGGCTGCACCACAGGCGCTGGTCTGAGCCCTCCCGTCCAAGGGCAAAGCTGGCTTCTGCCGCCCAGACCGCCTCCGCGGTCCTGGGGCGATCGCGGTCCTGGGGCGCCCTCTGGTGGCCGTAGGGGTCCCAGAGGGCAGGGCCTGAGGCCGTCCCCCAGTCCTCCCTGAGCTCCAGATGGATCCCGGGGGAGACTGTCTGGGGAGGGGCCTACAGAAGGGTCATCGGGGCTCTGTGGCCAGGTGTGACCCAGCGGTTCCGGAAGATGGACTATTTGGGGACCCGCTTTTCAGAGAAACTGAGGCCCAGAGTGGTTCAAGAGCCTGAAGGATGCTCGGGGCGTGAGCCCTGGGTTCTGGGGTTCCCAACGGCACCCCACACACCCCGCCTGGCCTGCATGAGAATGCTCAACGGGGGTCGCCTCTAGGACCCTGCGCCCCAGGGTCAGCCGTTCCTGCTGGCTAGAGAGAGAAACTGAGGGACAGCGTGGCTTGGCTGGACCCAGCCCTGGGCCACACATGGAGCGGGTGACAGCCAGAGGCCCCTACGGGAAGCCCCTGTGGGAACCCAGAGGCCGGAGAGGCCGGCCCTCTGAGCCAGCGGCTTTGGGCACAGCAGGCCTGTGGGTCTACCGTGCCCTGATCAGGTGGCGCCCTTGCTGGTCATGGCGTTGGCCGCCCAGGTGCCAGGGCTGCAGGGCAGGGAGGGGAGGAGCAGGGAGCTGGCGGGCAGGTGTCCCGTGTGCTGGGCTACCCTCACTCTGCTCGCTGGCAGCAGCCGCATGTCAGGGCGCCGGGAACAGGGACGGCAGGTAGGTGCCCCGGGCTGCCAGCCTCCAGGTGGGACCCGGAGGAGGGGGTCCCCTGCTCCCAGGTGGGGCAGTGGGTGCTGTCGGAGGGGACGGGCTCTGGCCACCTCCTTGACTCCTGTTTTAGTCACTGGGTCTGGAGGGAACCCTGCCTTCCCGGGGTGGTGGCGGGACAGCCTCTCTGTGGGTGAGGCAGGGCCTTTGGGAAGGGGAGGTCCCTCTGCCCCCGGCCCACAGCCAGCGCTCGGGGCGAGTCTGGGGAGGAGGGATGGCTCCAAGGCCCGGGGTCCTGGTCTGCCCAAACCACCAGGAGAGTAGGGGGGGGGCTCCAAGGCAGCCCCTGTCCGGGTGGGGAGACCCACCTGCGCTGCCCTCTCCCAGCTCCGTGCCCTCCACGCCTGCCCCAGCGAGACCCGCATCCTCACGAGGGGACAGGGGGGCCACGGTGCTGCCCTCTGGCCTGCAGAGCCTGGTGTGGGACTGGTTGGGGCCTTCTCCCTGCTGCTCTCCCCCTGCATCTCGCGGAGGAAGAGAAGGGCCCAGAGAGGCTGAGGGGCCTGCCCGAGGTCACACAGCGTGGGGAGGAGCTGGAGCAAGACTCCTGGGGCCCAGCTGCCTGGCCGCGTCCACGCTGGGGCCATTTCCCTGACGGCCTCTGGAAAGCGGTGGCTGTTCGCGCCCCTGGCGATAGCCCCCACTACTTTTGCGGACAGGACTGGAGATTTTGCCTCCATTTCCCGGATCAGGATGTGTGGGAGAGGATTCCAACCAGGGGTTAGACAGGATCCCACCCACGGCTTCCTTGACCCCCCCACCCCAGAACAAGGGTGCATTGAAGCCCCAGAAACCTGCTCATGCAAATCCTATTTGCGCGCCCTGCCCACCAGGCACATTTGCCTGGCCTCGGGCAACGTGCTGCCACCAGCACCCCCAACGCCTGGCACCACGCCCAAATGCTCCCCCACCCTGTCCCCAGGCTGGATGGGGGGGTGAGGGGTGGCCGTTGGATGATGAGGTTGGCGCTCCCCACTTCTGCTCGGAACCCCATGTCCCATCAGTGAGGCCAGAGGCCCAGAGTCAGATGAGGAAGGCCAGCGGCCACACCCTGCCGTCCCTGCCAGGCCCCCTGCCCCGCCCAGCCAGCCTGAGGACTGGGCCCCAGGCCCCAAACCCCCAGCCCCCCCCACATCCCACTGTATGCCTCCTGCTTGTGGCACGCATGTCCAGATGTGGCCAGAAGTGACCAGACTAGGCAGCTGGCCTGACAGGTCCTGGGCAGGCAGGAGGGAGGGAGGGCTGGTCCCAGACAGCAGCCCTGCAGTCCCTGTCCTGGCCCCCCGCCCCCCAGCGAGCCACACACTCTCCCCACCTCGCCACCTGTACCGTGGGTAGAGGAATGTCCCCCAGAACCTCAGAATGGGACCGATCAGGGGGATGCGGTCTTCACAGGCATCACTGCTTAAGATGAGGTCAGAGTGGGGACAGTAGGCCCCTATCCATCGACCAGTGTCCCCATGAGATGAGGAACGTTTGGACAGAGAGACACGGGAAAGGCCACGGAAGGATGGAAACAGACACTGGGGCCCGGGGACCACTGCCCAGGGACACCTGGAGCCCCCAGGAGCCAGAGGGGGCAGGGAGGGGCCCGTGACACCTTGATGTGGGACTTCTGGAGCCAGGAGCCAAGGGCTCTGAGCCACCCTATTTGCAGGACTTTGTTGGAAATGCCCTGTACCCCCTCCCATGGGCCCCGGCCCGGGCCTTGTCGCTTCCCAGACACACCAGGCCTTGTCCAGGTCCCCAACTCCTGTTAAACAGTCACCAGCTTGGAAAAGCCACATTCAAATCCCGCCCAGTTTCCTGCTCAGGGAGGGGGAAGCCAGGAGGATTTGCATCCCACCCGGGAGCCAGGTCTGGATACAGGAGAGCTTGGGGGGAGCTCACCCTGGCCTGGGGTCTGCGGGGGGTCCGGGGGGGCACCAGCAAGCCTGTCCATCTCAGTTCCTCGGCCCTCTGGGCTGGTGACTGCAGGAGTGTCCCGGATGGCTTCACACAAGACCCAGCACTGTGCGTGACCTCCCAGGGCCGCAAGCTCTCCAAGGAGTGGCTGGGGGTCCTGCCTCTCCTCTCCCAGCTTCCGGAGCTCCAAGCGGTCCTGGGCTTGGGGGCACATTGCCCCGGCCTCTGCCTGTGAGGTCACGTGGGCTTCTATCCCTTCCTTGTGAGGACACCGGTGCCTGGGTTAGGAGCCGCCCCAACGACCTCGACTCATTCCACGGGACGCCCCATCCACAGGTGCTGGGAGCTGGGACTTGGGTGCGTCCGTCTGGGGGCCCAGCGGGGTTGGCCGTGGGGGTGCAGGTCCCTGTCGTGCAGGCAAGGTTGCGCCCCCGCCCGTGAACACAGGTGGCCCCTCTCTAGCAAACACAGGGTGGGCCGATGGGGAAGTTGCCATGGGAAGGGGTTTCACCGAAGGACGTGTCCGGGGCGGGGGGCAGTGGGCACCCCGGAGAAGCTGGGAAACGCTCAGAGGGAGGGCTCTGGACCCGTGGCTGGGCAGCCAAGATGGTGGGGAGACCGGGCTTCACAGGGCGTGGGGGGGAGGGGGCAAGGCTGCTTGGCTGTCCCCGAACGTGGGGCCCCAGGCTTTGGGGAGACCCCTGTCCTGCAGGCTCACTCCCCAACCCAAATCGGCCGAGAAAACCGGCTGGGGCCAGGCGGCTGGGAGGTGGGGGCTGGTGGGTCGGGGAGACCTGGGGGTGCCCCAGCCAGGCAGGCCCTTGGGAGCCAGTTCCTTGCCACCTGGGCTGGTTGTGGGGCCCCAGCCCTGTGCGCCCGGTGAGCTGCTGGAGAGCGTCCGAGGAGCAGCGCTGGGCACGGAGCCTGGCTGCGGGCCAGGGGCAGGGCAGGAACGGGGTGGGAAGAGTCCGGGGCAGGGTGCCTTCCCCTCCAGACCTCCAGGCAAGGACGGTGGTCTGTCCCTCCCCCACATCCACACAGTCTTCCCCAGGTCCCCCTCAGGCCTCTGCTCCCGAGCTGTGGGCACCAGCCGACCTTACCAGCCAGCCCCCCACCCTGCCCAGGCACAGCCAAGATGTCCATCCCCATCCTGGGGCCGGTGCGGGTGTGGGGTGGGTGGGCCGCGTGTCCAGAAGCCCATACGACGTTCTGGGTTTCTAGGACGCCCCCCACCGAAGCCTCTGCAAGAGTGGTGACTGGAGTGGCCAGCCTGAGGCGCCCCAGGGTGGGGTGAGTAGCAGGCTGGGGAGCCAGGCAGAGGGGGGCACGGTTTGCCTCTCCTGCCTTCATGGTCTGGCTCTGTCCCTGCAGAGCGGTCCTCATGCCGGAGGCCGGGGGCAGCTGTCCCTGGGGCCCCAGGATGGTTGCGTCAGGCTCGGGGCCTGGCCTGTGCCGGGGCGAGATCGAATTTGGAGGGTCTGGGAAGAAGCGAGGCAAGGTAAGGGGCTGCCGTCCTGCACACACCGACGCTGTGCCCTCAAGCCTTGGGGGCCCGACCAGACCACCGAGTGCTTGTTGCCACCCCTGAGCTCCCAGCGCCTCCCCTGAACGCAGAGCGCCCCGGGCCGCTCAGGGCCCGCTAGCTCTCAGGGCTGGGTTCAGAGCCCCCAGGGGAGGCAGAGCGCAGAGCTGTCCGTGACCTCTGGCCCCCGTCTCCCACACCCACACGCACAGCACATCCAGGACCCCTCCTCTCTCCACACTTCCACCCCCCACGGAGAAGGAAGCAAGGCCCGGATGGTCAGTGCTGCCTGGGGCGTGGGCTGGTCAAGGCAGGACCCAGCTGAGCCCTGGCTTCCTACAGTCCCCCTGCCCTAAAGGGTGTCAGCCTCTCTCCTCAGGGCCAGCACCCACATGTCCCCTGTGCCTGTGCCCCCCAGTGCCCGAGTGCCCAGCACCCCAAAGCCAGTGCCCCAGTGCCCAGTGCCCCCATGCACAGCACCCCAGTGCCCAGTGCCCCTTGCCCAGCACCCCCATGCCCAGTACCATAGTGCCCTCCAGTGTCTCATGCCCGCATACCCAGTGCGCAGCACTCCGTGCCGTGTCCCTGTGCCCAGTGCCCCCAGGTCCCGCATCCCCACCCAGCACCCTGAGGCTGTGGTCATCCCGCCCCACAGTTCGTGAAGGTACCCAGCGACGTGGCCCCCTCCGAGCTCTTCAACCTCCTGCTGGCCGAGTGGCACCTGCCTGCCCCCAACCTCGTGGTGTCCCTGGTGGGTGAGGAGCGTCCGTTCGCCATGAAGCCCTGGCTGCGGGATGTCCTGCGCAAGGGGCTGGTGAAGGCGGCCCAGAGCACAGGTGAGGCTCCCCCAGAGGTCCTGAGCGGGGAGCGCCACAGCCCACGGCCCGTGTGGCTTCCTCTGTGCTGCCGGAGGTGAGAGCAGCTCCTCAGGAGGAGGGCAGCGGCTGAGGTCCCCCCAGGGCCGGGCCTCCCCCAGGAGCTGCAGGGGCACCCTGTGGGCCTCGGCGAGACACCCTCAGGGATGGCAGTGGGACCCCGTGCCTGCGGGTGGGCCCCCACCACCCTCTCCCCCTCCCTCGGGGGGCAGTCTGGCTGCACTGGGTCAGAACCAGCTTATCGGGCTTCCTGCTCAGGCCGCCTGAGCCTGCGGAGACCCCGTGCAAGGTCTGGGGGGTTTCCGAGCTCCCTTGCCGCAGAGGCTGACAGACCCCACCGGGCCGAGCGCTTCCTAATTTGGAGAAACCCTCCAGGCTCTGATTCCCCGCACAGGCCACAGGGCAGAGCCGTGGCCCCCGCACAGGCCACAGAGCTGTGGCCTGCTGTTCAGGGAGCCTCCAGGGGCCCAGTCCCACACGGCTCCCACGGGTCTGGGGACGTGGGCCTGCCTGCTGGCGGGGGACGACCTGGGGGCCATGGGCACACTGAGCCACATGCCGCAGGGGCCTGGATCCTGACCAGCGCGCTTCGCGTGGGCCTTGCCCGGTACGTCGGACAGGCCGTGCGTGACCACTCATTGGCCAGCACGTCCACGCGGGCCCGCGTGGTAGCCATTGGCTTTGCCTCCCTGGGCCGTGTCCTGCATCGTCAGCTTCTGGACAATGCCCAGGTGAGCGTCTGTCTTGGAACATTGGGACGGCTGGGCAAGGTGGACCTGGGAGGCAGGGAGGAGCCCATGCCCCCGAGTATCCCCTGCCCCAGTGGGAGGGATGTCTGCCTAGGAAGCCACCTGTGCAGTCTCAAAGGCTGACCACATCCCCCCATCCGCTGCCCATTGGTTATTTGGAAAACATCTCCTGAGGCCCTCCGTGTACCAGGCCTGCCGTGGACAGAGTAGCCTCTGCCCTCAGGGTCTCTGGGGGTGGGGCAGGCACCCTGAAGGCTTGGGACACTGAGGGAAAGCTGTTGGAGGGGAGCAGGGAGAGGGAAGAGGGAAGGGAGGGAGAAGGAGGGGAGAAGGAGAGGGGGAGGAAGAGGGAAAGGAAAGGGAAGGAGGGGGGAGGTGGGGAGGAGATGGGGATGGGAGGGAGAGGAAGCAGAGGAGGGGATGGGAGGAAGAGGAAGGGGAGGAGGGAAGAGAAGGGAGGATGTAAAGGGGAGGAAAGAAGACGAGGGCAGAGAGGGAAGAGGGAGGGAGGAGGGGAGGGGAAGGGGGTGCCTTGCACACGGCCAGCAGGTGGCAGCATCGGATAGGGAATATCGTGGGGAGGGGTCTACCAGGCCCCCAGCCGGCGCAGACCTACCCTCTGCCCAGGACCAGGACCGAGGCCCAGACGGCCACCAGCAAGTCTGGGCAACCCTGGGGCGAGCAGCCTTGGCTCCCAGCCCAGGGTCTGTCTAAGGCAGGGCCGGGCTGTGAGGGGAGCTTTGTCCCGCCCTGGTTCCATCTGGAGGACCCATTCCCAGCCCGCACCCCCCCCCGCCCCGCCCGGCCCCGGCACCAGCCGCGCGCCCCGCCCCCTGGCTGGGGTGGGAGCGGGTCCCGGCAGAGCAGACCCGGCCCGGGCCTCATGCTGTGTGCGGGGCTGCGGGTCCAGGAGCACAGCCCTGTGCACTACCCCGCGGACGAGGGCAGCGGCGGGGGCCCCCTCTGCTCCCTGGACAACAACCAGGCGCACTTCATCCTGGTGGAGCCCGGGCCGTGCGGGACGGGGGACGAGCTGGCGGAGCTGAGGCTCAAGCTGGAGAAACACATTTCGGAGCAGAGGACCGGCTACGGGGGTGAGGCCCGGCGAGGGGGCCCAGCGCGTGGGCGGGGCCGGAGGGACGACCAGGTGGGCAGGCGGGGCTTCCAGGCCGAAGGCGGGGCGCGGCCCGGAGCGGAGACCGGCCCGGAGCGGAGACCGGCTGTGGCCGTCTGGGAGGGACGCCGCGGCGGGCATGGAGCTGGCGGGCAGCGACTCCCCCCACGTGGCGGCGCAGCGCTTGCGGGGTGTGCGCGGGCGCCCCGGCCGAGGCTCTGTCTGTGGGCTCCGCGCTTTGGGAGGAAAGCGGGTCTGTGGGTTTGAGGGCCCGTTTCCCTCCGCCGGCCGCGACGGACGCTGCCACCAGAGGGCGGTGTTTCCTGCGCGCCGGCGCCGCTCGTCGGGTGTGAGAGGGATTTACGGTCCTCGCAGCGCCCGCGTTTGCTGGCGCTGCTCCATGCTCGGAAGCAACGCGGGGTGCGCGCTGGCGGGGTGCGCGCTGGCGGGGTGCGCGCTGGCGGGGTGCTCGTCGCAGCCCCGGCCCTGCCGAAAGCCGGAGGTGGCGCGGCGCTCGGTGCGCTGAAGTCTGCGGGGCCCACACCCCCGACCCGGCCTCCGGCTTCCATCCCGAGGCAGCTCAGGGCGCCTGGTGGCTGCCGCCGGCCCAGCACCCGCTGGCCCCACACGCCAAAACCTCACTTCTGGTTTATGTCTGGGGACGAACCTGGCTGAGGCCCCTCCTTTACCTCTTTGGTTTGCTTCTGGGCCTCCAAGGGTGTGCGGAGCGGCGGGAGAGCCGGCTACCGCAACGGGGGTAGATGCCGGGCACATAACCGTGGCCCGTGCAGCCAGGGACCGCTCTTCTGACTTCACAGACGTTCCTTTTTGCGGAAATGGCCACGAGGGGCCATAGTGGGCCCCAGGCGGAGGGACTGGTGTGTACGGTATGCATCCCGGAACCCACACTTCGCTAGAAACAGCCTCTGGGCCGGCGTTTGCTCAGAAGATGTAGGGGGTTGGTGGTCTGAGCACGTGGCTGCCCCGCAGGGAGGGTGCAAGCCCCCCCACCACTTGTCCGGGCACCAGGGCGGACCTCACGGGTGCTCTGTCCGCAGGCACTGGCAGCATCGAGATCCCTGTTCTCTGTCTCCTGGTCAATGGTGACCCCAGCACCCTGGAGGTAGGGCCAGGGAAGGAGGCGGGGGCCCAGCGAGGGCCCAGCGGGAGCCCCCCTGACTGGCCGTGGCTGCCGGCAGGACCCCGTCCGGCCTGGGACAGGGCATGTCTGGCACACGGGCCAAGGGGGGCGCCCAGGCTGACGTGGGGTCTGCTCTCCCCACCTTGCTGCCCCAGAGGATCTCCAGGGCCGTGGAGCACGCTGCCCCGTGGCTGGTCCTGGCAGGCTCAGGAGGCATCGCGGACGTGCTGGCTGCCTTGATGAACCAGCCCCACCTCCTGGTGCCCCAGGTGGCCGAGAAACAATTTAAAGAGAAGTTTCCGGGCGAACATTTCTGCTGGGAGGACATCGTACACTGGACCGAGCTGGTAGGAGCCTCCCAGGGACGGTGGGATCCGAAGGCTGAGGCCCCCCTCCCTGTCCCATCCCCTTCTCCTGGGCACGGCAGAGCTGGGACGAACTCCTCCTGGTGCCTCTGTGCCCCCGCCCCATGCGCAAGGCCCCGGCGTCCTCCCTCTCCCCACAAGGCCTCCCGGCCGGCTCGGCCTCGGGTCCTGGAGCAAGGGAGCTCGGAGCGGGCCCCGCGGGCTGCGGTGAGGCCGCCCCCGTGCCCGGGCAGCCGCTGGCTTGCTCACGAGACCCGCCTCACATGCCGAGTGCCCAGTCCGTGCCTGTCCACCGGCGTGTCCCCGCCCCCAGGGCCACCTCAGGGCCCTTGTCCTGCTGTCCCAGCTGCAGAACATCACCTCCCACCCACATCTGCTCACCGTGCACGACTTCGAGCAGGAGGGCACCGAGGAGCTGGACACTGTCATCCTTAAAGCGCTGGTGAAAGGTGAGAGCCCTGGGCGGGTGTGGGGTGACCGCCGCTGTGTCCCACGGCCCCGGGCTCTGCGCCTGGCGCGGAGCTGCTTCCCACACCCCGTCCCATCGTGGCTCTCCCCTGCGGGGCCACCGCCCAGCTGGGATGTCAGCGGCCGGGACGCCTGCGACGGCGTCGCTCTGCCGTGTGTGCGTGTGTGTGGCCCGGTGCTCACGTCTCCAGCAGGACGTGTAACAAAACTGGAATGACGCAGAGATGACACACAGATCCGTAAACGGGCCTGCGTTCGGCGGGTTTTACGTCTGCCGTGTTCTACTGTCGTTTAAGAAACTATTTAAAACGTCAGTCCAGGGGCTTCTGGTCCATTTGTGAATTAGCTGTCCCCATGGTCTAATTCCGGGACATCCCTGTCCCCAGAGCAAGCCAGCAACCGTGGGCGCGCCCTGCCTCCCTGGGCCCTGGCGAGCGCCGGCTTTGTTCCGCCCGTGAGGGTGTGCCCGGCTGGTGCCCTTCCCCTCAGCGGGCTGCGGTGCGCCGTGGGCTCCTGTCTCCCAGCCCCGTGTTTGAGGCTCGCCCATGCCGCGGCACGTGGGACGCCTCACTGCTTCTTAAGGCTGAGGGATCTCCCGCTGCGCACAGGGACCGCGTGTGGTTTTCTGTTCCTCAGTCGACGGCGCTGGGCTGCCACCGGCTGCTGTCACTTGATACGCTTCTCGTATTAGAGACCAGCCACGCCAAGGGATGGACCTTGAGGAAACCAGACAGAGAACCGGGCCCCGAGGGGCAGTTTGGGGCCGGGATGCGCTGGAGGGACAGAGGGGGAGAGGGGAGCTCCTCTGGTCGGGCCGTCCGCTCCCTCCTGCTCCGCTCACCCGTCCCTTTGGGGTCCCGGGGGCCAGCGTTTCTGCCAGGGCTCCTGGGGGTCTGGCGACACTGGGGGCCTCTCAGCACTAATCAGAGGGTGTGGAGCAGGCCGTGGTGCCTGGACTCTGTGTCCAGAAGACTGCTGCGGGGGGCCCTGTCTGCACAAGCTCTGGGGACCCCTAGGTTCGCCCCTCATCCCCTGCCCACTCTGTCCAAGCCTGCAAGAGCCACAGCCAGGAGGCGCAAGACTACCTGGACGAGCTCAAGCTGGCCGTGGCCTGGGACCGCGTGGACATCGCCAGGAGCGAGATCTTCAATGGGGACGTGGAGTGGAAGGTGCCCGCCCGCCGGCCAGCCGATGCCTCCTGAGCCTCGTTTCTGGCCGACCCAGGGCGGGGACCGTGTGGAGGGCCTGGGGGCAGACAGTGTTCCCTAGGGCTCCTGGCAGGTTCCTTCCTGCCCGCTGGGGCCCCGGGGGTGGGGCGGGGAGGCCAGGGCACCTGCTGGGGCTCCCCGTGCATGGCCCCAGGGAGGACGGGCCTGCTGGGTGCCCCGCAACTCGTGGCCCCTGGTGGCCTGGAGCTGGCTCAGAGGGACAGGCTGGGGTGCTGGAGCTGGGGGGCTCCCTGCACACTGGCTCCCACTCACTCTGCCCGTCTCTGCCCCACCCCCCCGGGCATGTCCCGTGGCGGCCCCAGTCCTGTGACCTGGAGGAGGTGATGATGGACGCGCTGGTGAGTGACAAGCCCGAGTTCGTGCGTCTCTTCGTGGACAACGGCGCCGACGTGGGGGACTTCCTGACGTACGGGCGGCTGCAGCAGCTGTACCGCTCCACGCCCCCCAAGAGCCTGCTGTTCGACCTGCTGCAGCGCAAGCACGAGGAGGGCCGGCTGACCCTGGCCGGCCTGGGCGCCCAGCAGGCCCGCGAGCCGCCCACGGGCCTGCCCGCCTTCTCCCTGCACGAGGTCTCCCGCCTGCTCAAGGACTTCCTGCACGACGCCTGTCGCGGGCTCTACCAGGAGGTGAGCGGGCCGGTGGCCGGGAGGGCCGGGAGGGGTCCCCAGGAGGCTGACCGGCCTGTCCTCCAGGAGCGGGGACCGGCCAGGCGGCCTGAGGGCCGGAAGTGGCTGCTGGATCTGAACCGGAAGAGCGAGAACCCCTGGCGGGACCTGTTCCTCTGGGCCGTGCTGCAGAACCGCCACGAGATGGCCACCTACTTCTGGGCCATGGTGGGTTGGCCCCGGGCTCCTGGGGGGTCGGGGAGGGGTGGGGATACCGGCCTCCTCACACGCTGTCTCCTAGGGCCAGGAGGGGGTGGCCGCTGCTCTGGCCGCCTGCAAGATCCTCAGAGAGATGTCGCACCTGGAGACCGGGGCGGGGGTGCGCCGCCCGGTGAGGGAGGCCAAGTACGAGCAGCTAGCCCTGGGTGAGCACCAGCCCGGCGGTCAGCGACGCACACGGGGCGGGGGGCGCACGAAGTGGGGGCCCAGGGCCACCTCAGAGCCTCCTCTTAGTGGGGAGGTGGACCCTAACATTCATTCTCACAGAGGGACAGGTGGGTCCTCAGTGGTGGCCTTGGGCACACCCTAGGTCCTGCGGCCACTTGGTCAGGGCACGTGGGGTGACGACGGGGGAGGGAAGGGCAGGGCAGGCGGGCACAGTCAGAGTCCCTGTGGGGAGGTGGACGCAGCTAGGGGCCCAGGAGGAGGAGCGCGGCGGCCAGTGACCGGTGTCCCTGCGCAGGCCTCTTCTCCGAGTGCTACGGCAATAGCGAGGACCGCGCATTTGCCCTGCTGGTGCGCAGAAACCGCGGCTGGAGCAGGGCCACCTGTCTGCACCTGGCCACCGAGGCTGACACCAAGGCCTTCTTCGCCCATGACGGGGTGCAGGTGAGCGCCTGGCTTTGGGGGAATGGCTTCGCCCACCTCCGCTCCCCAAGTCCTGGTCACGGGCCAGGGGCGCAGGACGGGCGGCCCTGTTCCTAGAAGGCACCTGCCTGGCTTCCTTCTCGCTGCCCCGGGCTGGCCCTTTGTCCGCTGTGGTCTCAGCAGAGGGGCCGCCTCCTCCATGTGACTCTCCCGCACCCCTAAACCTGGTCTCCCCTCACCCCATGAAGGGTCTGACCCCCAGGGTGCAGGGCAAGGCTTTGGCGGAGCCTGGGAGGGCGCATCTGGTGCTGGGCACAGCATGGGCCAAGGTGTGGGGTGGGAGGCCAGTGGTGGTGCCTTCGTTTCAGGCTTTCCTGACCAAGATCTGGTGGGGGGACATGGCGTCGGGCACGCCCATCCTGCGGCTGCTGTGTGCCTTCCTCTGCCCAGCCCTCATCTACACCAACTTCATCACCTTCAGGTGTGTTGGGGGCAGGCGCCGCCACCTTGCCAGCCACTGGTGGTGGGGGGTGGGCTTTGAGGGTACCGCATCTCCACAGCTCCCCGCGTCCAGCATCTCTGTGGGTCCTGCTGTGTGCAGACCTTCTCAGTGCATTCAGCACTGCCTTTGCTGGCTGGTGCCCTTGCCGCAGGCCCTGAGGGTTCCCTGTGCTTGCAGTGAGGAGGCCCCGCTGAGGTCGGGCCCCGAGGGCCTGCAGGAGCTGGACAGCCTGGACACAGAGAAGAGCCTGCTCTGCAGCCCGGGCAGCAGGTAAGGGCTGCGGGGCGGGCTGGCCGGGGGCGGCACTCACTCCGGGGGGCACCTGGCCGCCTGCCTCACTGCCGGCTGTGGTCTTCCTGTGCTGCAGGCCAGAGGAGCTGGCCGAGACACCAAGGGCTCAGGGAGGCCCAGGACCCCGTGCTGCCTTCCTGCTCACGCGCTGGCGCATGTTTTGGGGCGCGCCTGTGACCGTGTTCCTGGGGAACGTGGTCATGTACTTTGCATTCCTCTTCCTGTTCGCCTACGTCCTGCTGGTCGACTTCAGGCCACCTCCTCAGGGGCCGTCTGGGCCTGAGGTCACCCTGTACTTCTGGGTCTTTACTCTGGTGCTGGAAGAGATCCGGCAGGTTAGTGGTGGTCCCAGCTCCAGGCTGAGCCCTGGTCCCCAGCAACCCCAGCCTGGGCTGGGCAGGGCGGTCTCCAGTGGGCCGTCAGTGGACGGTCTGCCTCTCTGCCAGGGATTTTTCTCGGACGAGGACACACATCTGGTGAAAAAGTTCACGCTCTACGTGGAAGATAACTGGAACAAGTGTGACATGGTGGCCATCTTTCTGTTCATTGCTGGTGTTACCTGCAGGTCTGTGGGGCTCAGAGCCTAACGGGCCACCTCGGTTGGGCCGGTGGGCAAGGTCACCTGCAGGATGAAACCAGGAAAGGGCTCAGAAGTTCCGGCTTGTCCCTGGTACCCGTGCTGTGTGTCCTGGAGGAAGCTCCGTCCTCTCTCTGGGCACTAACAGCCCCCCCACCCCCCCCCCCCCCCCCAGGATGGTGCCCTCGATGTTCGAGGCGGGCCGCACGGTCCTGGCCGTCGACTTCATGGTGTTCACGCTCCGACTCATCCACATCTTTGCCGTCCACAAGCAGCTGGGCCCCAAGATCATCATCGTGGAGCGCATGGTGAGCCCCTGGCTGTACCTGGGCCTGCCCTGGTTCCCGGGGCGGCTGAGATTGAAGCCCCAGTGGGTGACCACTAACCCTCTCCGCTCTTCCCCCCCGGAGATGAAGGACGTCTTTTTCTTCCTCTTCTTCCTGAGCGTGTGGCTTGTGGCCTACGGCGTGACCACGCAGGCGCTGCTGCACCCTCACGACGGACGCCTGGAGTGGGTCTTCCGCCGCGTGTTCTACCGGCCCTACCTGCAGATCTTCGGGCAAATCCCGCTGGACGAGATCGATGGTTAGCACACAGCCTGGGGGAGGGGGCAGCGCCTCTGAGCCAGCTGCAAGGACACCCCCCTCTTTGGGGTGCAGCCAGATGGGGTCTGGTTTACCAAGTCTCCTTTTATAACACCCTGGACGTGGGGCCCTTGAGAGGGGCCTTTCAGGGTCACGTGAGGCCCTAGCTAGGAATTAGCTGAGATGGGGGAAGTCCCTGAGGCTGGCCCCCAGGCCCCACAGCCCCCACAGCCCCCACAGCCCAGGGGCAGCTCCAGGCAGATTTCTGTTGGTCACAGGGACGCGAGACTTGGGGCATCAGGCTAGGAACTGAGGTGCGAGGAGGCTGCAAAGTGGGCAGGCCCATCCCAGTCCATTCCTGACCATGACGGGCTGGTCCATGCACTGGAGCCTCTACCCGCCCTGGGCGGCCCTGCTGGATAGCGGGCCTCTCTGTCCCCCACCCATCCTCCAGAGGCCCCATGCTGGGTCCTGGGCCCGCCTGCTGGCAAGGCCCCTCTGCCATGAGGCCGTTCCTGACAGCATCCTTGCCGCTCCTGGGGACACGGCCCAGTGCGCCTCACCTACTGTCAGGTGTGTGCGGCCCATCAGAGGGTGCAGGTGTCCCCAGCTGGCCCTTGTTGGAGGTTCCAAGAACTTCCCAGGACAGTGGGTACAGTGTGGGAGAGGGAGCTGCTCCTCCATGGGGTGCTGGGTGGGGACAGGTTCAGGGAAGCCCTGGCGTGGGGGACAGGGACACCTGTGCAGGCCCCAGAGGTGGCTGGAATTTGGTGAGGAGAGGGAACCGGCCCCTCAAGGAAGGTGAGCCAGCGCCAGGGGCCCGTGTGAGGGCCTGCGGAGGGCCCGTTCACTCAGCCTGGTGCGGGACCAGGGCGACCCAGGCCCCAGAGCAGTCACGAGCACACCAGGTCTGAGGCCTGACCCCGACCCCTGAAGCTACTGAGGCGCGGTCACCGATTTGTCAATGGGGTGAGAGCATGAGTGACGCGAACACGGGCCGCCAGGATGGGGAGGAGCGCTGCAGCCATGGAAATGGGCTAAGTGGGGTAGGCCGGAGGCCCATGTCCCGGGTCTGTGTGGCCTGCCCCCGTGACCCCTCGGTGTTTGCTCAGCCACAGTGTTCCAGTCCCTTAGTTTCAGCAGACCCTGCCTCCCTCCCCGTATGGTCCCTGGCCACCCTGTCTCGTGGGGCCCTTGGGAGGCAGGGGGCACCGGGTCTCTCGGAGGGCCCCATCTTCACGCTGGTGTTAGGGATCAGTGGTGTAAGGTGGGGTCATGACCCCAGTTCCCCGGGAGCCCAGGGCTACCCGGGGAGGGCAGATGGAGCGCAGGCCTTCCTGAGGAGGTCCCAGCCCCCAGGCTGCCTTGGGGGCAGAGTGCTGTAGCAACAAGCCTGTCAGCAGGGCCAGGCCTGAGCCGGCTCCCTCAGGGTCCCGGGCAGGACCCTTCCCCTCCTGGGGCTGGGCTTCCTGTCTGCTCAGGTCTCTGGGTAACCCCACCACGGGGAGGGAGGTGGTGGTGGGAAAACTGAGTCTCTAACATGTAGCCTATGGGCCTGGGGCCCAGAGTGCCCCCTGCCCTGCCACACCCCATCCCAGCCCCCGCACCAGGAGGAAGCCCCAGGGCTGACTTCAGTCTAGCTTCAGCCCAGGGACAATTTAAGATTATTTATTTGTTTGACAGAGATCACAAGTAGGCAGAAAGGCAGGAGGGAGAGAGGAGGAAGCAGGCTCCCCGCTGAGCAGAGAGCCTGATGCGGGGCTCGATCCCAGGACCCTGAGATCACGACCTGAGCCGAAGGCAGAGGCTTTAACCCTCTGAGCCACCCAGGCGTGCCCCCAGGGACAATCTAATTTCCGGCCTGGCCTGGTGGCACCTTTGGGAGACATGGGAGTCTCACTGCTTCGGAGCCTGGGTGCCGGGGGGAGAGACAAGGGGTGTGACTCAGCCCCCAGCAGGCCTGTGGGCCAGGGCTGGCAGGAGGCTGCTTGGCTACGCCCTTCTGCACACTCAGCAGCTCACTGGCGTGGCCTGGCACAAAAACTCACTCGGGAAATTGGGAGACAGCCCCCCCAGAGAGGGAGCCACAGACACGTGAAGACAGGCCCACCAGCCCGACACGTGCGTACAGCGTGGGGACACAGGGACACACACGTAGACAGAGACCGGGGACACACAGCACGGAGCCAGAGGCGCAGCTGTGTAAACAGTCCAGCGTGCAGGCGTGGGCAGCACCCACACGGCCACGGGGCACGTGCACATACAAGGCCACAAGCCGCCTCCCAAGAAGATGTGGCAAGCACCCTGGGCAGCCATGGCCTGTGCACTCACACTTTGCTCCTTCCTCCCGTGCCTCCTGTCCCATGAGTGCGGGGTGCTGGCTGGTGAGGGGCTGGCGCTGTGACCCTCGGGCCCCCCGGGGCGTGCTTGCCTGCTCCCAGATCGCGCACTCACTCCCACTGCCCCGAGAACGTTCTGTGAGCTGGCATGGCCCAGAGGTGCTGTGTCCACACTGCCTGGGGCAATCAGGATCAAGGAAGGTGTAGCCAAATGAGGTATGGAGATGGTACAGACTTGCCTCCCCAGCTGGGGGCCATGGGACAGGCCTCAGTGTTACGAAGGCCCTGACAAGTCCTGCAGGGAAGACCAGTCACCCTCACCTTGGCTAGCTCTCTCCACACCAGCTCTGAGCCCCTGGTGGTGGTGGTGGTGGGGAACACACACATCTACCAGCACAAACTTGGGTCTGCTGTGCCCCATCCCCCAGATGGCCTTGGCTCTGCCCCCAGAGCCCGGGCCCTGGCTGCGATCAGTCAGGAGGAGGTGGGGGAGTGGGACCAGTGTCCTATGCAGGAACTCTCAGTGCTCAGCCAGCTAACCCCGGGCCAGCCAGGCTAGCTGGCCCCCCGCCAGCACCCTCCACCCAGGCGGGCTCCACCGAGGACAAAGCTCTCAAGGCCGGAGGCTGTGGGTCCAGGCGGCCCCCGCTGTGCCGCTTGTGTTTCAGAAGCCCGCGTGAACTGCTCCCTGCACCCCCTGCTGGAGGAGGGCTCCCCCTCCTGCCCCAACCTCTACGCCAACTGGCTGGTCATCCTCCTGCTGGTCACCTTTCTGCTCGTCACCAACGTGCTGCTCATGAACCTGCTGATCGCCATGTTCAGGTGGCCTGATCCCTGTGCCCCCTGCACGCAGGGCTGGGGGGCGCCCAGGGCCCAGCGCCGCAGACCTGGGGCTGCAGTGAAGGACAGGCGCGGGGGAAGGAGGCTCCGGGGGCAAGTCTGCACCGTCCAGGAGAGCAGACAGGGCGGCAAAGACCCCACGTGTGCGCACAGAGAAACGCGGGAGCGGGCGCGATCGCGGGAGACGAGGGCAGGGGCCCCTGGGAGTGGCGCGGGGCTGGGCAGGGGCCCGAGCAGAGGACCCAGGGCCACACGCGCTCCACGCCCACACGCTGGCCCCACAGCTACACGTTCCAGGTGGTGCAGGGCAACGCGGACACGTTCTGGAAGTTCCAGCGCTACCACCTCATCGTGGAGTACCACCAGCGCCCCGCCCTGGCGCCGCCCTTCATCGTCCTCAGCCACCTGAGCCTGCTGCTCAAGAGGCTGCTCCGGAAGGGGGCCGCGCAGAAGCGGGCGCACCTGGGTGAGGCCGCGCGCCACGTGCAGGGGGGCGGGCAGGCGCGCAGAGCCCCCGTCTGGGCCCGGGGCAGCCAGCACAGGCTGAGCCCATCACCTTCCTCCCCTCACACCCTGGGCCCGTGGGCAGGGATGGGGGGGGGGGGCGGGGGCGGGCCCCGCGGGTGCCAGGGCTCCTGTGGCTGGGCTCCCCGGGCCCCGCGGCCCCCCAGCTGCAGCCGAGCCTGTGGCCATCCGGCCTTCCCAGGGAGAGACCTGCCGGAGCCCCTGGACCAGAAGATGGTCACGTGGGAGGCGGTGCAGAAGGAGAACTACCTGGGCAAGCTGGAGAAGCAGAGGAAGGGCAGCAAGGAGGAGGTGCTGCGAAAAACCGCCCACAGGTGCGCGGGCGCCCCGAGCCCCCCACCCCCGCCTGGAGACCCAAGGCCCTGTCCCCCTCAGGTGGCCAGAGGTCTAAGAGACCCTCCGGGACCTCTGCCACCAAGAGCCGGAGTGGCCCACACCTGCCAGTCACAGTTCTGAGCTGGGGAGGCTGAAGCTGAGAGGGGCAGAGGGGCGGATAAAGGTGGGGTCCTCCTTGCTCTGGGCCCCCCAAAATGCTCCATCCCAACAGTCCCTTCAGGCCCACAGCTCCCGCCTGCCCGCGACCCCTGCTCTCGCTGGCAGCCGCTCAGCCCCCTCGAGAGCCCAGGGAGGGCAGGAGGGCCCCACACCCAGATGTGGGGATGCTGGCAAAGGGCAGACCATCCTACCCAGCGAGGCCTCCGTGACCCCAAACCTCCTCAAAAGGCCTGGGTGGTTGGGGACGGGAGGACGGGGAGATCGCCCCGCTGTGGGGCGCCCCGTGCACACCGGCTTCTGTCGCAGGGTGGACTCTGTGGCCCAGCACCTCGGGGGGCTGAGGGAGCAAGAAAGGCGCATCAAGCGCTTGGAATCCCAGGTAAGCAGCTGGGCCTCACGCTCTTCTGATGGGGACCCCCACCCTCATCCCTACACCCCAGCACCCAGGCAGGGCAGGGCACGGCCCGGGGGGGGGCACAGTCCCTGTACCTGCCTCCATAGGGGACTTTGGGGACAATGTGCCCTCCCTGGAGGGTATCCTGTCCTTCAGACCCCCTCACTGTCCACTCTGCACACCTGGAACCCTGCCCTCACGCCTGTTCCCACAGCTACGGGAGGGGAGGCCCATGGGGTGGCAGGGCCCACGGGCTGCCCCAGACGCCTCTCTCTCCCCCAGGTCGACTACTGCACGGTGCTCCTGTCCTCCATAGCCCAGCGCAGCGCCAACTGGAGTAAGTGTGTGTCCGGGGAAGACGGGCGCGGGCCGCCGGGGCCACAGGTGGAGGACTGTCACACGGTGCCCCGTTATCTGCCTTCCTGTCCTGGGAGGGGACTGGCCCAGGCCGCTGATGGCCCTTGGCTGGCAACGGTCTTCAGGGCAGGGCAGGAGCCCTCTGCCGAAGCCGCCAGCTCAGCCAGGCATGAGAGTGTGGCCACATGGACTCTGGAGGCTCCACCCGGCGGCTGCCCTCCACAACACCCCCAGCCCCCTCCGGGCCAGGCTCGCCGGCTCCTGTGCTCCTGTGGTGTGCATGAGCCCCTTTCCCTTCCCTGGGCCGGCCCCACCGGACACCCAGCAGCTGAGGGGTCTTCCTTTCTCAGCAGACTCCCAGACCTCTAAAGGTGGACGCCAGCAAGCCGGTGCTGACCACTGAGGGGCTGCGGACAGCAGCGAGCGCCCAGAGGCCGGCCAGCGGCTCTCAGACACCTGAGCCACTCGGAGCAGCTGCACACGGGGCCCACCTCCCAGCGCCCCGATCACGATGGGCAGGCAGACCACCCCAGGCCCCAGAGACACACCGAACTTCCCCCGCCTCCGCTAGAGCCCTCAGTGGGCTCTGGCTCTCGTGGCCTTGTCAGAAGCAGCCACTCCTCGCCCCTGCCTGGCTCCTTGCCCGGGACCGCTCTCCCTTTGCCAGGAAGCACGGGGCTGGACGGCGGGCCCTCTCCCAGACTGGGGGAGCCCCGGGGGCCCCCATCCACAACCATCCGGTCTGGTCTGGTGGGTCACAACACGGGGTCCGCACCTATCTCATACCCAACTTGTATCACCTGTTAAAACTCATTTCTTGGAAACACTAGCGGCTGGAAGCTCTTGCCCTTTTGGACCTGGAGGGAGTCTTGACTCTGTGTGTTGGCCCCGAATCCCACACCCTCACATGCTCACACAGCAAGCCCTGGACTATGTCCAGCCTGGGCCACGGCCCCAGGGGGACCCACCCCTGCCCCACGGCTGCTTCCTCCTAAGAGAACACACCCACCCGAGTCAGCAAAGGCTACGGGGTGGGGAGAGGGTTTACCTGCCCGTGGGATAGGGGTCCTGGCTCCCGGTCTGGCCGTAGCTAGGGTGAGTGGCTAGCCGCGTTGGTCCCCTCCTTTCCTCCAAGGCCTGGGGCTGGGACAGCAGACCAGCCAGTCTCTGCTATGTCCTGCCACCAGGCACAGAGGGGACACACTTGTCCCAGTCTGCCACCCCTGACGCCCTCAGGGGTCTGTGCTCCTTCCCCCGCCGCTGGGCCCAGCCAAACCAGCAGCGCCCCTGCCCACAGCTCAGTGGCTCTGGTGATGTGGTCCCAGGACACTGGCCATCGTCACACTCGCCCTGGGCGGGCCAGAGCCAAGGGGCAAGAGTGGCCAAGGCCAGGGAGGGGCCCTGCCCCCACTCACATGCTGGCCTCCTAGGGACTCATTTCCTCAAGATTCCTTGCCCTAGCCCGGCTGGGGGTAGAGGCTGGCCAGCTGAGATCGAGCTCACCCCTGGAAGTGCCCAGGGCCTTCTTCACCTCCTACTCTGGACCCGGGTGTTGATTTAGAAAGCCTCCATGTCCCCTGGACGCTAGGTAAGGGAGGATTGAACGAGAGAACAGGCCATGTGAGGGCGGCGGGGGGCAAACAAGGCCCAGCCATGCTGGTCCTGACCCGAGAACCTACACAAGGCCGGAAGCGGAAGGAATGTCCGAAGCCTTTACTCGTGCCCCAGGGGGACTCAGCGGGCCAGGGTTTCTGCCGTCCACCGGCAAGCACCGCTTCAGACACCACTACCCAGAGCTCCAGCCCAGGATGCCGGCGCCTCCTCCTGGCAGCCCGCTGGCTCCCTTCCCAAGGGGCAGGAGCCCCAGGCCCCACTCCACCCGAGGCGGCCAGTGGCCCTAGCTGCCTCCCTCCGCCAGCCTGTCCGGTTTCTTCTCTCAGATCTCGGTGCCTGCGGCCTCGGGGCTGCTGTGCTTGTTCCGAAAGTGGTCTCTGTTCCGCTTCCTGCTGCCATGGAAGCCAACGGTCTCCGCCACGGGGGACCGGGCCGCTGAGCTGGGGTGGGCGGCCCCCTGTGGCACGCCGACTTCCTGAAGGCCCCCCTGGGGGCTGCTCCAGTCCTCAGCCTCCGGGCTCCCAGGCCCGGCCAGGTGGGCCAGCTCCACGGGGCCCTCGCCCCCCGGGGCGCCCGGGTTCCCAGGCCCTCCTGCCTTCTTCAGGGCCCTCTTCCTCTCAGGCCTGGCCTCGCCAGCTCGGGCAGGTTTGGTGAAGACGACTCTTCCCTCCCCGCAGCTAGAGGCATCCTGGTTGAAAGAGGACACACGGTCGCTGGGGGCAGCCAGGCTCGGGGAGCCCAGGAAGGCCAGAGCAGCAGCCTGGTTGCTCTGCTCGCTGACCTCGGCCACGTTTTCCAGGCTGTACTTGGTCCAGCGCTCAGGGTGGGCCACATAGTCAGGGACTGGGGGCAACCTCGGAGGGGCAGGGCTCTGACTGGCCCTGCCCGGGTCCTCTCCTGGAGGCCGGCTTGCGGGTGCCGGTGGCTGTGGGAAGCCCCCCTCGTCACCCGGGCCAGTCTGCGCCACAGAGGGCAGCACCCGCCCGCCTGTGCCCTCCAGGCAGTCGAAGATGTTGCGGCTGCGCCAGGAGAAGGTAGAGCTCGTGCCCCTCAGCTGGAACGGCTGCACCGCGGCCGCGCGGAGGCCCCTCGCAGACAAAGAGGACTCATCGGGGTCTGAGTCCCCCTGGGCCTCGCCAGGTAGCACCCCCGGACACAGAGCTTCCATCTCAGCACCGCCAGGCAGGCTGACATCAGAGTCTGAGTCGCTGAGAGACGCGGTGTCCGCAGGCAGAGCGTCGACCTCTGTCCCTTGCTGGGCTTCCAGGGGCTCTCCTGCCCCTGCCTCAGACATGTGTCCCAGGGCACACCACACCCAGACCAGACCGCCCAAGAAGTCCGTGTCTGAGGCTCGTGGGCACTCACGACAGGTCCCTCCTGTAGACCCACTGTCCTTGAGCCGGCGGTGGGATCCACAGAAAGAACTACGTCCTGCAGAGCAAGGGATGGAGATGCCCGTCCCCTGAAAACCCTCTCACCTCCCTTGTCTGACGCGGTCCGTGCGGACACTGGAGTGCGGGTGGGAAGTGCTGCAGAGTGGTGGTGGCCTCGGTCCTGGGGGGCGCGTCCAGCGGCTCAGCTGTAGCGGGCTGGGGTGGGAAAAGCCAACCATCACATCAGGCTGCAAAGGTGCAGAAATGGTGCCACAACCCCAACGGGTGCTCCTGGGTTTATGAAGCCCAGACAGAGGCCAGGCCCAGAGCAGATCCTTTGTAACGACGGCTTCGTTCCAGGCTCGGAGCCCCGTCTGGGGACCTGCTGGGGGGGTGGGGCTGTGGCAAGAGAAGGCCACCAGGGCTCGCCCACGGACAGCAGCAGCCTGTGCTCTGCGCCACCAGCCCCCTCAAGCAGGTAGGCTCCTTACTAACTGCTCAGCGTGGCGCGTGGCCCGCCGCAAGGACCGCACAAAGACTGGGCCACGGGCCTGGTCCAAGGCAAGGAGGGCGGCTCCTGATGGCTGGGAGAGGCCCCGGGAGTTCCATGGGCGTCCGCAGCCACCCGGGGCACCCTTGGTGGGCAGAGGCAGGACCTCCAGCAACCTCTGGTGGCACTTTCCCTCTCCCAGCAGAGCACAGAAGTGGGACCAACGCTCGCTTAGTGGCCCAAGTGTGACCAAGCGGGCACCTTGCACCTTGTATTTCCGGGCTCAGGGGACAGCCAGGCCTCACCCATCCATCCACCAGGCCGCCCTGGCCCAGGGTGACCCGCTGCGGAGCGCCCACGAAGGACCCGGCAGGTGGGCCAGGCGCGGCCGCGGGTGCCCCGCAGCTGATCAAACACAGACGAGACCGCCAGTGCTCTGGGTCGTGAGTCCCCCAGTGAGGGAGCACCTCCAGAGGGAACGGGAGCACCTCCAGAGGGAACGGGAGCACCGCCACGTGTTCTAGGGAGGGAGAGACAATGGGCCGGCCGCACCGCACGCCGCGAGCAAAGCCGGAGCTGCAGCCAGCCTCCTGCTCGCCGAAGTCGCGCCCCTGCGGTCCGCACCGCCGGGAACGCCACCGCGACTAGGAGCAGCAGCCGGAGCGGGAGCGCGCCGGGGGGACAAGGGGGCAGCGCGCCAGGAAGAGCCATCGGGAGCGTTTCCGGGGGCTCTCCGCGAACTTCGGGAGCTCGGCGGCCGGAGCCCCGTCCCCGCAGGCGGAACCACTGGCTTCCCCGCGGGAGCGCTCGGACGCGCACCCCCGGCTTCCTCCGCTCAGTCGGGGGCCTGGGCCGGACAGGGTCCGGGCTTCACAAGCCTCGGGGTCCCAGAGCCCAGCCCGCGAGGGGCCGGAGACGCGAAGCACTACGGGGGCGGCTCCGGGCTGGGCAAGGCTGCGGACAGCGACCTCCCAGAGGCGCGGCCGCTAGTCAGCGCCGGACTCCCTCACCGCAAACCTACCGGACCCGCGCGGCCTGGCCGGCTCCATCTTGAGCTGCGCTCCGCCTTCTGGGAAACCGAGTCCTCCGCCGGCCCAGGCCCGAGGCGTCAGCACCTGGAGAACTACATCTCCCACAAGGCACTGGGGCGCCACTCCCAAGGCCTGTTGCGTAGCGTGGCCCCTGCGCATGCGTCCTCGCTTTTCTTCGGAGCCCTTCCTCCCCGGAAACGACGGCTCTCCTTCCCGCTAAGAGCCGGAATTGAGTAGAGAAAAGAGGGAGGAGGAAGAGGCAGCACGGCGACTCCCAGAATGCTCGAGGGCTAACGGCCAGCGCCGCGTTCCCGGGCCCCCAGCGCCACCTGCTGGAAATCGCGAGCACAGCGGCCTCCTCAGGCCGGAAGTGCACCATCGCGCTCGGCGCCGTTGCCGAGTGCTTCCGGTGCGGGCGGGAGCGCGCGGCCGCGCCCCTAGTGGGTCGGGGGCGGCGGGCGGGACGTGTTTTCGGCTGCTGCGCTCAGCCTCGGGGCGGCCTCGCCTCGCCTGCCCGCCGCGTCCACCCTGCCGGCCCCAGGCGTGGTCGGGACCCACAGGGACCCCCAGGCCAGCAGCACCCCCCCGTCCCCCCCGCCAGCACGGACTGCGGCTGCGCTCTGCTGCGTGGCGGATACGCTCCAGGGTCCACCGGGGAAGCACTTGGGAGGGGGCCCCGGGGTCGCCGTGTTCTCCCAGCGACCCATGCGGCACACACGCGGAGAGGTGTGGCGGGAGGATAGACCCCGCAGAGACCCGATGACCCCAAATGCGGGGCGGGGGCTCGTTTCCAACACGAGCCCCAGAGGAGGCCGCTGGGAACCCCGAGCCCGACCCCAGCCAGGCGCTTGCGGCCTCACGGGGTCGGTTCGGCACAGACCAGGTCCGTGCCCGCGCCCAGGGCACCCCCCAGCGTTGGCGGGGCGGCCGGGCCGCGGTCCACCCCGGGGTCCGGCTGGCAGGGGCTCAGACCCGCCTCTCCGGCCCTCACAAGTTGTGGCTCGGGCCGGGAGCTACCCAGCTGTCCGGGAAAGCTGACCAGCACCGCGACCGGCCGGGAGAGTCCGGGGCGCCGGAGGGGCCGGTGTCCGCCCTCCGCAGAGCCGGCCCCAGGAGGAAGGGGAGTCTTGCAGGCCCCCACCTCAAGCACCCCCTACCCCGGCTCCGCCCCTCGGCGGTGGTGCCCAAGGACTCGGCGGGGCAGTGAGGCTGGGTGGAGGTTGCCAAAGGGGGCACGGGGGCACCTGCCATGTGGAGTGCTCTTGGGGGCCCAGCACGCCCGGCAAGGTCCACAGAGCCAGCCTCAGCCCTGCAGGCCCCTCTGCGCCTGCAGCCGCCCCAGGTTCCGACGCCGCAGGCACAGGGACTGTTGTTAGCATGCCCGGATTCTCCTTCTTTATTGAGTGACTTGGAGGTGTAATTACAGTGGCAGGTGACGCGTTAGAAAGGACAGGTGCGCTGAAGGCGTAAGGCTGCTGCGGACCCGGCTCTAGACAGGCGGCGGGGGAGGAGCGGGGGTTAAAAAAGGCATGAGCCGTGCAGCCCGGGAGGCAGGTGGGTGGGCCGCAGGGCCCCCAGGAGAGGCCTGGCTGAGCAGGCAGAGCCCCTCAGCCGCAGAAGCAGGGGGGGCCCCGCCTCGCAGTCCCCAAGGCCCGCTCACATGCCATCTATAGGTGACTTCAGCCCGGAAGGGAAATGGGGAACTTCAGGACAAAAACGAAACCTCAGAAGTAAAAAGGCTAATAAGTGTAGCAGAGTGATGCCGGAGAAGTTATATACACGGGCGGTGACGGCCCTCCTCAGAAACGTCCGGTCACTCCGGGGGCGCTGCAGGGTCCCCAGTGGCCTGCCCCACAGCGCGAGCAGCTGCGTCCGCTCAGTACACGGAGCTGTTCCGGATGCCGCAGCACAGCACCATGCTCAGGATCATCTCGAAGATCTGCGGGGCGGGTGGGGGGAACTGTCAGCATCCACAGCCCTGTGGGGGTGCCCTGGGCAGATGCCCGGCCCGCACACTCACCATGATCACAGCAACCACGATGGCCGCAATGCCAATGAGGTACAGCTTCCCCGAGAAGAGGTCATCGATCTTCTGGTGGCAGTCCTCCTGGAGGGCGGGGGGAGGGGGGCAGCCAGCGGACAGTCAGGGGCGCAGGCCCTCGGGCCCCCACAGTCCCGCAGCACGGGCTCGTTGAGGAAAGAGCATGGGGAGGCTCAGCCCCTCAGAAGAGGTGTGACCAGCGCCTGGTCTCTGCCCAGTTATCTCACACCCCTTTTAAAACAGACGCGGGGTGGGACGTGGCGGGTGCGTGGTCTTCCGCTCAGGTCGCTGAGCCGCACGCGGACGGTGCTGGCCCGGGAGCCGGGCAGAGACCCGCCACTCCCAGGGGCCCAGCCTGCCAGCGCCCACCGGAGCCCCCAGGCAGCCTGGCGCACCCCGGGACCCGGCCGGCCCCGTGTACCTTGAAGAAGTTGCTGATGACGGAGCTGCCCGAGGGACATAGGTTGTTCTTCAGCATGGACGTGGTCAGCGCGGACAGCGTGCTGGAGCCACAGCAGTTGAGCTGCGGGCACCAAGACGCTCGGGTGAGCCCCACGCCCTTGTGCGCAGGCGACCCGTGGGTAGATGGCCAGGGACACACAGCCTGGGGAAGCTGAGGCCTGGGGAGACGCCCTGGCCTGGCCCAGGATCGGGAGCTGGGAGGTTCCAGGGGGAGAACGGAGCCGGGGGCCCCTCTCTTCCCCTTCCTCCCACCACGCCCTGGCCTAATGGGCTCACCTGGCTCACGGTGGGTCCCTGAGAACCCCTCCCCCGGGGCACCCCAGAGAGTGCTCTGCAGCCTGCGAGGTTGCAGCACCCTCCTGCTCCTGAGGTCTGCGCTGGGGCCAGGCTCCACCCCAGCCAGGCCTTACCCAAGAGGACCGCGCCCCGCCCCCCAGCAGCTCCTCCCGCACCGTCTCATGGAAGGTCTTGACCACGGCCTTGGCGTTGTTGGCGTCATCGTCCACCACGGCCTGCTGCAAAGCCTGGTCATAGAACTGCTTCACGTCCTTGGCGATCTGGGGGTGGGGTATGTGGAAGGGGTGAGGTCACAGCCACCGCAGGGACCATCCCGGGGGAGGGGGCACATGTTCCCCTGGCTCTCCTGAGAAGGTGATGTTCCCAGGGTAGACCTGGTTGCCCCCACCCCCACCCCAGCCTGGTGCTGGGAGATAGGTGGCCCCGCCTTCTACTCGGCCGCCGTGCCACCTCCTCCAGAGAGCCCTCCACGGCCTTTCTATGAGGCAGGGCCCACGGGCAGCTCCAAACAGCACCTGCAATCCAAGGGTAGGCCCAACCCCTTCCCCACAACCTGAGCAGCAGGCCCTCCCCAACCCCAGCCCGGCAGGGACGGGCCCACTGCTGTGGCCCCAGGCTCACCTGGTCTTTGTTGACAAAGCCCCAGATGCCCGCAGCTACTTCACAGGCAAAGAGGATGACGAGGCAGGTAAAGAACTGGGAAGGCCGTGCAGGACCCAGAAGGGAGAGCAGAGACACAGGGATGAGGGCAGGCTTGGGGCAGCTTAGGGCTGGCCACGTGCAGGTGACAGACGCCCCAAGTGACCGGCAGCCCACCCCCACCCCGCCCCAGCTGGGGACGAGCCGCATCAGGGGAAGACTCGGTCCCAGCAGTGGCCTGCCGAGGTTCTCAGCATCCCCGGGGCGTTTGGGCCTCAGGTGACCCCTGTCCGCACCCCACTCCTCCCTCTCCCTGTGGGAAGGGGGTCATCATGACACGAACGCCCACTGCCCATGCCTCCTGGGCTAGCCGGGCCCCAGCTTCTGCGTTAATGTTGCCGAGGAGCTGGGACGCGCCCCTCATTGCTTCTGGGCCTTTGTATTAAAAACAAAGAAAAACCACTGTAAAACCACGAGCTAGGAACCAGACGTCACAGTAATAGGACAGGGTGGGGTTTCCGAGCCACACAGGGACTCCGGAGGGCTGTCATTCCAGGAAAGGTCCCTAGGCCACCCGGCGAGTCCCCGCTCCAGGGCCACACTGCCAAGCAGGGGGGCCCATCTGAGCAGAACACAGGGAGCCTCCAGAACTTGGGGTTCTGCCTCTGCACCGCCTTCCTGCCCCCGCCTGGCCCCAGGCCTTACCGTCCCCAGCAGGCACTGGGACTCCTGGATGGCCCCGTAGCAGCCCAGAAACCCGACGAACATCATCACGGCACCCACGGCAATGAGGATGTAGATGCCTTTGTGGGGGGAGCAACGAACACTCTCAGAGCGCGACGTCCCCCCGAGGGCCGCCCGTCCCAGTCCCCCTCCCTGGCCATGGGCACACCTTCCACCCAGGGCTCGGGCCACCCTGCCCTAGAGGAGTGGCAAGGGCACCTCGGCCTGGCCGCGGGGCGAGTGCCCCTCCCATGTCTCCCTGCCCCGCGGCCCCACCCCCGCTGCGGCTCTGCACCCCGGGAGCTGGGCCGCCAGGGACCGGGCCAGGACTGACTGGCACAGCAGCATGCTCAGAGAGCCCTGCCTGCTGATCTGTGCGCTGCCTCGCTCCCCACTGAGGTCGCACACGGCCTGCACCCACTCTGGTCCCTGAAGTCTCTGGGACTCAGTGGGGGCCACAGAGGACCGTGCGCTCCTGGTGCACAGGGCCATGCCCACTGTGCCCGGGCAGGGGGTCAGATCCAGCGGCTCCATGTGGCTCCCTGGGCTGGAGGAGTGGGCCCGAGCTGGCTTTGCGGGGACAGGAGCCTGCCGGCGGAGGTGGCCTGGCAGCTGGGGCGACCCGGTCTGCAGAGGATGGCGTGTGGCATGGGAGGGAGATTTCTAGGTCAGCATGTGCTGGGCACGGGCTCCTGGGGATGCAGGAAGGGCCAGGACAGGGTAGGGGGTGCCTCTGGCCTGGCCGCACTGCCCTTCTCAGGGCCCATGGCACATGGCCCACGCAGACAGGTCTGGTTCCAACAGGCGCAGTTGAGGACCCACTGGGCCCTGCAGTGTTGTCCTGGATGCTGAGGAAGCCCCCTAACCTGCCCCCCTGCCCCTACCAGCCTTGGACAAAGAGCCCTTGTCAGGGCCCACATCTGCTCCCCCGCCCCCTGGAAGGCCCAGCCTGCCTCAGGCGGATCCAGAAGGCCCGTCTTTGATGGGCGGGGACCCGGCAGCCCACGGGGGTCGCTGCCGAAGCCCAGGTCCCCAGGCAGGCCTGCCAGGCAGTCCAGTGGCTGAAGCTGCTCCCCAAGGGCAGCCCCCACCAAGCGCCAGAAGAGGCATGTGGGGGCCCCTGCAAACCAGGGTTAGGCCCCACAGTGACAGCCCAATGTGGTACCTGTGAGGGACAGGCGGGTGGGACAGTGCCTGCGTTGCCCCCGACAAGCCTCTCGTATGGAACCACATCCCTCCTGGAGTCCGGGCACAGCCCTGCAGCCTCACTCCTCCTGGGAAAGCCCAGAGCAGAAGCAGTGGACCTCTGTGTGCCCGGCCCATTCCCAAGCCTGCGACCAGGGTTCCTGAGCCCTCTCAGCCCAGTCCTGAGCTGGACCAAGGGGGCCTTTAGCTCCTCTACCATACTGGACCAGACAGAGGACTGTGAGAGCAGGAGCTGCTCCGGCCATGAGGTGGGAGGGGACCTGTTCCCAATCACCTGCCTACACCCACGGCACCCCAGATCCTGGAGAACCACCCCAGACAGGATGTTGCAGGCTTGAACCCCTGGGGAAGGAGAGGGGGGCCCTGGGAGGAGGTCTGCAGGAGACAAACAGCTCTGATGGGTCTGGAAGGCCCTTCCTTGCCCTCGGACACGTGAGCAAAGCTGACCACCCTGCTCCCGAGGGTGTCCCTGGTGGACCCTGGGTGACGGTTCTCAGGGGTGCCTTTGTAATGGGCAGGCGGCGGGGGGGGGGGGCCCTCTCCTCAAGAGACTCAAACCTTCAAGGAGGCTCACAGCCCGGGGGAGCCTGTGGATCTGGAAAGGGGAGGCTCGGGACCCCCTCCAGGGGCAGCCAGCCCTGGGAGTCCACGGCCAGAGCTGCAGGCTTCCGTCTCCAGGGAGGAAAGGGGTCACCTGTCAGTGCTCCCGGGTCAGACCTCTTCTCCCTGCAGCTCCGAGAGGAGCACAGGCTGGGAAGGACACACATCCCCTTTGTGGCCCCAGGGGACCCTGGGCCATCCCTGCTTCAGCAACCAAGCGTCCCCGCCAGCGCCTGCCCCCTCCCCCAAACAGCAGCTGGGAAGGACCCAGCCCCTGCTGGGCCGCACACAGTAGGGCGGCCGCTGGCCCTAACATGGAACCCCGAACCCGAAAGGCCCACACACACTTCCCGCCCCACTGCCGGGCCTGTGGGGACCTGAGAGGCCAGACCAGGCCGTTCCTTTAAAGGACAGAAACAAGGCCTCCAGAGCCCCAGGAGGGCCAGGCCCTGCCTCCTGCTGGCTGGGGACCAACCTGAGGAGGAGGGAGGCTCTGCAGGACAGGGTGGGGCAAGGGTGGGGGCGTGATCCCCTGAGGGGGCCCCAGCTGGTGCCTGGGAGGCAGGCAGCCTAATAAGGCAGCAAGGTGTGGCTGGGGGGCGGCCTGAGTCACACTGGCCCCTGCCTCACCCTGGGGCCCTGAGTCTCCCTCCCCCTTGCTCCAGCTGCCTGGGCCGCCAGTCCCGCTGCCCAGGCAGGCATCCAGCCCCGCCCCTTCCCTGCAAGCCTCCCCGAAATACCCACCGCGAGCCAAGGCTCCCCTGCCCCCACCCAGTGGCCTCCAGCCCCCAGTTGGCTCCCAGGAGCCATCTGGTAGGGTCTCAACCGCCCACACACCCCGTGCTGTCCCAGTGCTGCCTGGGAGGCTGGCTGCCACACCCCCGACCCCCGCCAGCCAGGCAGTGGACCCCCATGGAACCACGGACCGCAAGGCCCCAGGCGGGCCCGACTCTGCCCACACTCTCTCACCCTCTCGCCCAGAGAGCCCTTCCTGGCAGGCCTCGGCCGCCCGGCCGCCCAGCGAGCTTTGCTGGCCTGGCCCATGCCCTGCCGCCTCCTGGAAGTCCTTCCTGACCGCCCGTGTGCAGCAGCGATGTTCAGACATCTTGACAGGTCGCTCCCGCTGGCCCCCAAGCGCAGAGCCAGCCAGGTGCACTCACCTACGTAGAAGGTGTTGGGTGCAGGCCTGTCTCCGAGCTCCAGGTAGAGGAGGTTGGTGGTCTGCGGGTCGTGGCGTAGCCACAGAGCCACACCCAGGATCACGCCTCCGGCCAGCTGGGGAAAGAGCAGGGACATGGTTACTTGCCCAGAGCACCACAGGGGTGAGTGTGGGCCGAGCCACACCGGACACCCAAGGAGGCAGGGGCTGGACCCTCGCCTCCACCTGCCCGCGGGCTCAGGGCGTCCCTCTCCAGGTGGCGCTCCCAGGCACCGCTGGGGTCCAGGCTGCTTGCCGGCTCCACACGCCCGCTGCTGGGACCCGGCACTTGGGATGGGTATTGGAGCGACATCCCCAGTCCGGGATGGGCACGCTCATGTCAAAACAGCGCTCATTTTTCCAGCCAAAGCTCTAATTTAGTCGGAGGCCCTGTATTTTCATTTGCTAAATCTGGCCGCAGGCCACACCAGACCCAAGTACCCTAGGGACCGCTGGGCCTTCCTCTAAGCAGGTGCTCCCCACTGTCCCCAGCTCATCTGGGAACCCCATGGAGGGGACTCCAGTCTTTGCTGCCAAGAGGAGAGGGGTGGGGTCTGATGCCCCCAGGGCCCTGGTGGGGCCTGTGGAGGGAACGACAGACAAGGGGAGGCAGCCGAGGCCGGTGGCCTCCAGGAAGCCACGGGGCGAGGGCCTGGGCCGTTTGTGGGAGAAATCTTGCCGCTGCTGGGCCTGGGAAGGGAAGTCGCCGTGGGAGGAAGGAAGCTGGGCTCCCAGAGAGACCAGGGAGGGGCTGCCTGGGCAGCAGGGGCAGGAAAGGGGGCTCTGCTTGGAGCCTAGCGGGAGGACAGAGACTTCCGGCTTGGGGAGGCTTCCACAGACTCAGGGTCCTGCCAGCACAGGGCCTGGGGCGGGCGGGGGGCGCTCCTGAAGGGGAGCCCAGACCACGCTGGGCCCGGACTACACAGAAGCATCCCACCAGCACAGGCCGTGGTGTGCCACTCTCGGGCCCCAGCCTCTGTCTGCAGGCCGGCCCAGCCCCAGCTGCCCCACAGACCAGAATGTGCTCCCAGAGCCCGCCGCGGTGCGGGTCCGAGGGCCTCGCTGCGCAGCCACAGCCCCTCGCTTCCTCCTCCCACCATCCGTGTGCCGGCAATGGAGCCTTCCCCAGACGGCAGCAGACACTGACCCCCCAAACACAGGCCTGGAGCTCCACATCCTACAGGGAGGAGAAACCCCCAGTCCAGAAAACCACCTGGCCAGACCAGCACCTGCCTGAGGCCCCTGCTGGGGAGCAGACCCCCGACACGGCGGCTGGTGGCGCGCGTGTGACTCTAGGCCCCGGCCCCGCGGCATGTCCCAAGGAAACGCCCGCTGCTTCCCAGGCCCTTCCACCTGGCCTCCGCTCACAGTCAGGCTGGCGGGGCCCACGCCCCCAAGGCAAGGCTGCCCCCCAACTAGTCCGGGGTTTCCTCTTCTCAGCCCTGTTCTCCCAGGGTTCCAGGTCTGGTGGGGGAGGGCAGGCTAGGCTCAGAGGCTCTGCCCTTCCTCAAGGGTGGGTGGGGAGGACCACCAAGGTCCCCTCCCATGACCCTCTGGCCGCCACGCAGACCTCCAAGGGCAGGGGCCCAGACTCCCAGCATCCTGCGCCTCTCAGCGGCACCTGCCAGCCACGGGAGATGGCCAGGGGTCGCATGGGACGGCGGGGGCAGGGCAGGCACCCCAGAGTCCCCGGCTCCTCCTGAGGTGGCTGCCATCTGGGGCTCCCAGGGAGGCGGTGTCTAGGCTGAGGGTTGCTGTGGTAACTCTGGCTTGAAACCGTCACTTGTTCTCTTTTGAAACTGTGGTCCAGAGCAGCCTTTGTGAGATGTCCCAGGGCGGAGGGGGAGGGGCGGGGAAGCCCCTGTCCCAGGCCTCCCGCTGTGGTCCTCTGCAGTCCTGGCGCCCTGGCCACAAGCCCGGTGAGCCTCCCCACGGTGGAGGGGGCGGAGTGTGGAGGGGCGCGTGGGCCCTGGCCAGCTGGGACCTCTCCCGTGTTCCCCATGTAGCCCCTTCACCCCAGCAGCCGGGGAGACAAGTGTCTTGGGGTGCATGTTCCTAACAGAAGTGCAGGGGGAACAGTGCTGACCCCCTCCCTGGTCGCCACCTCGGCTGCTTTGGCAGGGGCAGGCGGGGCGGCCTCTGACTCCCCCGCGGCCCCCAGGCCCGCAGCCCTGAGGGGTAAAGGGAAGTTGCTCCTGCGTTCAGGGCTGGGGAGGGCTCAGTGTGGATGTGCCCCTGTATGCCGGGGCCCCAGTCACTCCAGGCCCCGCACAGACCCCCGGAGTGGGGCCAGGTGAACGCAGCAATGGCGAGGACCATCCCGTTCCCTGATGAGGAAACCCACGTGGCAGGGGGCAGACTGCCAGGGAGGGAGGGACAAAGACAGCACCCCGACCCAGAGCGGGGGGGAGGGGGAAGCCCTCCGCAGGGAAGGCAAGGCTCCTGGCCCCCCACTCGCGCCCCGGCGGGAACGTGGGAGGAGCTGGGGTCAGTGAGCTTCCCAGCTCGGCCTGCACCTGCCGCCCCGCAGGTCCCCCCAGGGACGCAAACGTGCGTGTCCACACCACGACGTGGGCCCTGGCGGTCTCTGGCATCCCCAGCCCTGACCTGGGACCGACCCACGTGTCCTGCAAGCGGCTCACAGGCGGGGGAGCAAGAACATGGCGGGTCCCAGCAGCAACACGAGATGTTCTCCGCGGACAACCACGCTGGGTGACAGCCACCAGACCGGAAAGAAGTTCCCTTTCTACACAAGTGTCAGAAGTGCAAATTACGTGCAGTAACAGAACACAGGCCACCGGCCGCCTGGGGATGGGGGACAAACACGAGCCCCTGGGCGCTTCTGGGGCTGCTGGACGTGTCCACGGTCATGATGCCGCGACTGTTTCACAGGGTTCTACCGACACCGAAGTCACACCCCAACTCCCGACTTGGGCCCCAACGTCTAAACTTTTTTTTTTTTTTTTAAAGATTTATCTATTTATTTGACAGGCAGAGACCACCAGCAGAGAGGCAGGCAGAGAGAGAGGGGAAGCAGGCTCCCCGCGGAGCAGAGAGCCCGATGCGGGGCTCGATCCCAGGACCCTGGGATCATGACCCGAGCCAAAGGCAGAGGCTTTAACCCACTGAGCCACCCAGGCGCCCCTCAACATCTGAACTTCTAAGCAACTTCGTCTGGGCCCCCAAAGATCCTGGCTGCCGTCTTGGGGCCAGCCGGGTCCCTGGAGAGGTGGGCTTCCCAGGGCCCGCAGAAGCATCTGGAAACATCGTGCTGACATTTTGCCCACGGAACCGAGGTTTTAGGGTCAGAGAAGGGAGTGGAGAACTGTGGAGCCGGGACGTGTGCTCCCCAGCAGAGATCAGTGTGCAGGGAGAGCAGGAGTCCCGGCGCAGGGTGGGGCCCAGGGCGTGGTGGCCAAGGGTGCCCCTGGCGTCTCGGGGTCACAAGGCCATCTCAGCTAAGGTCCCAGCCGCCGCGCCACGTGGCTGCAAGCACCAGTGCTGGGAGCAGCAGGTGTCCCCGCCCTGCAGAGCCCCCCCCCCCCCCCCGACCCCGCACAGGGCCGCCTCTGCAGGGCTGCCCCATGCTCCTGCCCCGGGGGCCCTGCCCCACAAGGGGCCCCGCTGGGAAGGGCGCTGGCTGGCTGGGCCGCAGGGAAAGGTGCCACAGCGGGCACGGTGTGGCGGGTTCAGGACACTGTGAAAGATTCCGTTTCTGTTTCTTTCTTCGTTTCTGAGAATTAGTAACTAAAGGCGTCAGCTGGAACAGGAGGGGCTGCCAAGCACGCTGGGTTCCTGCCCGCCCGCCTGGCGTTTCCAAGAAGTGGCTGAAAGGGAGCAAGAGGCAGTGGGTGCCGCTGGGGCAGGCCTGCTATGCCCCCCCCACCCCGGCCGGAGGCCCCCAGCCCCACCCACACAGGCCCCGGGGCTTTGTGTCACTCACGCCCTCCCAGCGGCTGGCCGCCCAGGGGCAGGAGTGTGGGGGGGCGGGGGGGGGGTTCCACCCGAAGCGTGGCAGGATAGGGCACCTGGCTCCACCCCAGCTCTGCTCCCCAACCCCCCACCTCCAAGGGTGCACACACTTGAGGGAGAAGGCGCCAGGAAGCGTTCCTGGCTGGGCGGCTGGGGGGTCCTGGAGGCCTGGAGATTTACACCGCCCCCACTCCCCCCACCCCACCCCGCCCCCTCCGCCCAAGCAGGGCAGTGAAGGCCAGGAGGCAGGAAGTGAGGCCGGAAATGCCCTGAGGGGCAGGGGTCTAAGTCAGAGGGAAGAGGTACAGCACAGATGCTCTGAGGACCAGTTGTGGGAGGTCAGAGGGGGAAGGAGGAGGTCCTGAAACCACCCCTGGAGCTGGGTGGGGGTCCTGGTTTCCCGCAGACTGACCCTTGCTCTCCACCCACCATCAGGGGACAGGGCCAGACGCTTCCCTGGGTGATGCAGGCCTGACTCGGGCCTTCCAGGTGGGTGGCCTCCAGGAGCAGCCCAGGGCGGGAAGTGTGGAGGGAAGAGTAGGGACCCCCACCTCGGCCAGGGAGCGGAGCCTGGCCTGAGGCCCCTGGCCCTCAGGAAGCCCCCTGGCCCAGCACCTAGGAGAAGGGAGCAAGGGGTTCGTGACCCAGGCCCTCCTGAGTCCCACCAGCTGGGGGCTGCGGGAGCCACTTCCCCCCAAGAGGTGAGTGCAGGACCCCGCTACACCCCATCTCCTCTAGGGGCACATCACAGACCCAACCCCACCACCCAATACCTGGGTAGTGAAGCCAGGAAGTGCCCTGCTCCCTGGCCCCAAACCGACCCCATGGTTGGGAGTCCTTCTGCCCCCTCCGACCCTGCAGGGAGGGGCCTGCGGACACAGGGGCCTGCCAGAGAAGGGCCCAGGACAGGCTGCGGCAGGACCAGGCCCTGTGCCTCTGACCAGGAGGAGCTAGGCGGGCCAGGCACCAACTGCAGAGGGAGACGGGAGGTGGGTAGGCTCAGGAAGGGGACCGGAGAGCAGGGGGAGGACTCCCAAGGCAGGTCAGGGTAGCCTGATCCCTGTCCCTGGAGAGCCCCAGCCCTGCAACCCCTCCAGGCCATGAAGAAAGACCTCCTCATGTGGTCACTTGGGGACCTCAGCCTCCTACTGCTCCAGCTGAAGGCTGAAGGGACAGCTCCAGCCCAGGGCCTCACTGGCCCGGGGGGGACCTGAAGGTCTTATCACCTTGAGACAAAGCGAAAGGATGGTGGCCAAGCCCCTGGGCTAGGGAGCCGCATGGGCCCTTCAACCAAGCAGAGCCACAGCTGTGTGAGAAGGTGACCCCCTGTGAGCTCAAGGTGGGACAAACCCCCTGCCTCTCGGAAGCCCCCGCCCCCTCCTCCCCAAGACCAAGGGCACTGAGCTCCTGGCTCAGGCCTCCCAGCCCAGGACTGGACACCCAGGAAGGTGTGCAGTCCTCACGGCGGCGCGGAACTGAGCTCAGCATCATCCAGAGATGACGGCACGGGTAAGACAGGTGACAGGGAGCTGCTCGACATTCCCCCAGGGGAACTGGGGCCAACCCAATTATGAACTGGGCCAACCCGGGCGTGGGTCACCCAGCCCGAGAGTCTGCAGGGAGGGTGGCCCTGGCTTCCTGTCTTCCACCTTCTTGCCAATGACCATGGTACCCAGTCCCCATAGGCAGGTGGGGCAGCACTAACTTCCGAAGTTAGAAACAGGGACAAGGGGCATGAACTCCCAGGCCCTGGTGGAGCTGCCGGGCCCCAGTTCCCCCCTCCTCTGCGGCTCCCAGCCCCCCCTGCCCAGAGCACCCTCACCACTGACAAGAAGAACTTACGGGCCCAACCCCATCTCCTAAGCCCCTCGCTCTGGCCAGCTCCCATCTCATGCCTGGACAGGGTGGCCGCGCCGCCCCTGGCAGCCGGCTTAGCAAGGGAAATCCTCGGCTAGTACGGGGCATGGCCCCTGCCTGCCCACGGGCACTCCCTTAGCATCCGGGAATCCACCTGGAAGCCCCCACGTGGTCTTGTGAGTCAACACTTGCTCGGCCATCAGGAGGGGCTTAGGCCAGGCCCCAGAGTAGAAACTCTGTGTACTTTGGGGCCGGGGACGGGGCAGGCACTGAGAAATCTAGAGGTTTCTGGAAGCATGCTGGGTCAAACCACACTCTGCAGGACAGATGGAAAACAACTCGGGAGAAGGGTCCTGAGGGCCAAATCCAGACGAGCCTGGTTCTCGGTCAAGGACAAGGCACACCAGCCCTGGGGCACCTCCAGGGCTGAAAACCACGCAGCCCTCACGGCATGCCCTGAGCTGGGCTCTCGGGTGCCAAGGCCAGAGGCAGAACCCCTGTGCCTCTACCCCATCCCCACCCTGAAACGCTGGGCCAGTGCAGAGGTGATCGTCAGCTCCTCCCATGGGTGCCTGGACTTTGCCATATTGATCTGATGACCCGGCTATCGCCCTCTCCGGCTTTCAGGCGCTGAAGTGAAGCCACAGGGCCCGTGATTTGGAAGGATGGGTTTTTGGGTCCCTTTCCCTGACTGGACTCCCAGAATGAGCTAGGGATTGGGAATAAACTCAACTTCTGGAGGCAGACCTGAGCTGGTGGGGGGGTGGGCACCTTGTGGTGGTGGGGAGGCAGCCTTGGAGCAGCACCCACCAGGGTCCCAGGCCTCTTGGTACCTGGACATCCTTACGGGGGTGGGGTGGGAGACAAAGTCTGTTCCAGGCACAGACCACACACTTCCTCATCTCGTCCCAGCCCAACGGCCATTTCCCCCAAAGCGCTGCCACTCAGCCCGTCCACTCGCCCACCCCCTAAAACCGGCACAGGAAATCCCCACCCCCACCCTGAGCCTGCCAGGGTCACACATCCCCTCTCCGGGAAGGAAGGCGACAGAACCGCTAAGTGACAGACCGTCATGTGCTGTCTGGAAGCGAGAATTAAATGCCAGTCAGCGAGGCTTCTAATCAGCCCTGTTCCCGGCCTCGTCTGCCTGCCCCACCTCTGGACAGCAGCCACTGAAGGCATTAGGCTGGAGAAGGGGCCAGCCCAGGACGCTGTGCTCTCTCTGGCCGGCCTCCAAGGACAGGCCTGGGATCGTACCCACTTCACAGATGAGGAAAGCGCGCGGCTCACGAGTGCCAGCTTCCTGCCCCAGGTCACGGGGCGGGGAGCCTCTGCTCTTCCTGAAATGCCCGGCCACAAGCAGGAGCCTGGAGTAGCAGCGGCCTCTGCCAGGAAGCTCCGGGTCCCACCAGCACCGGGAGGATTTCCACTCCCTGCAGGGCAGGGCATCTGCACCGTCCCCCAGGCTCGGCCGGGGCTGCTGCTGGTGCCCCCGCTCCCGTCCCTGCCTCACGGCTGGATGCCTGCAGGGCCAGGGAACCCCGAAGGCATACTGGGGGCACACCGCCTGGGGCCCCGAAGTCCTGGCTCGTGGAGGAGAGAGACAGGCCTGTGAGCATGTGGGGTGAGCGGGCCCCTTCCTGGAGAAGCCGGCTGGACCGCCCCCGAGGCCGCTCCCAGGTGGGAGCCTTTCCACTCCTACCACGGAACTGTGAAAAGGGCCCCGATGTAGTCAGACACCCACTGTCAAAGTCTCCCAGCTCCCCCTCAGCACCCATACCTGCACGGCAGAACGACAGTCACCCAGCGCCCACGGAGCCCCTTCCCCAGGGCGCTGCCCATGCCAGCCAAGGCGGGCAGTCTTCCTGCTGGCCATCCGGGCCCTACAGCCGTTTCCTGAGTTCGACCCTCAGGGTGTGAGCTAGTCGCAGGCCCTGGGGATGGGATGGCCAGCCGCCGGGGCAGGGGGCAGAGAGGGGCCCTGCCAGACTGGTGGCCCCAGGCCCCACCCTGCTCAGCCCCACGGCAGGGGTGCGTGGGGCCACAGTTCTCAATGCCCAGCTGGGTGGCCTGGTGGGGGAGAGGCCTGGAAACATTGCCTTAAGCTTCAAAAAAGAGCAGCCCCTGGGGATGGGTCAGGCCTCCACCCCAGCTGCCTGAGGAACCACCAGGCTCGCCCAGGCGGAGCTGGGGGGTGAGCGGGGTCTGCCCTGGAGACCTCCCAGGCTGGGCAGCGGGGAGGGACCTACCCAGCACCGACACTCAGCCTGAGGACAAGAATCCGCTCTGAGAGACATCCTCTACCTCCGTCCGCCCTCCACCTCCTGGTCAGGGCCCTCACCCCACATTCAGGCTCTGCTCAGAGGCCAGCAGAGGGGCCTCTGGGTGTCCCCCCGACCCCCTACGGGCCCAGACCACAGCAGGCAAACACTAAACAAACACTGAACACCACCGCTCCGGCAAAGGGGGTGGTTTCGGGGTGGTTCAGGCCAGTCCTGGCCCTTCCTGACAGCCCCACTGCTCCCCACTTCCCAGGCAGAGGCCAGTGGCCACAGCGGGCCCCCAATCTGTCCTCCCCACCCAGGTGGGGTATGACCCCTCCACTCCACCCCCAGCTAGAGCTCAGTCCGGTCTCTGTCCTCCCCACCCCAAACACCTCACCGCCCCGACACCCGCACTGGGGTCCTCCCGGCTGGGACCCTCAGCTGTCCAGATGGGAAACAGATGCTCCCAGTCCCATGCACTTGCTCAGGGGACTGTTCAAAAGTTTACCCTCCCGAGTCTACTGGAGAACTACGCTGTTGGCCAGATGTGGTCATGGTCCTTCCTGAGAAGGGGTGAGCAGCCTGGGGTGCCAGAGGGGTCCAGGAGGGCTCCCAGGCACTGCCCAGGGGACTGGCCAAGCGTTAGCAGGGCCGGGCCAGGAGAAGGGTTCCTGCACCCACTCCGGGCCCCTCCCCAACTCCAGCACAGGCAGGAAACAGAAACAAAGCCAAAGCACCAGTGGTCACTGGCCAGCAGTTACCACCCAGGCCAGGAAAACGCAACCTGCTGGTCTGCAGCCTGGAGCCGGAGACTCTCGTGCACCCCTAGACGACCATCCTGCTGGCACCTCTCTCCAAGGCGAATGGCCAAGCCCACACCTATGCCCAGACCTGGGCATCCACTGGGACCCAGGCCCCAGAGGAGCTCAGAGACGCTCGGGTCCTCAGGGTCCCCTGCCCTGGGCCGGCCCGGAACCGCCGCCCCCAGCCCCACTCCCCTCAAAGCCTCCGCAGCCTCCTGAGCCGGCGGGGACCGCAAGCTCCGACTGGCTGAGAGCGGAGGGGGCCAGCCCCACAGAGCGCGGCCCAGCGCCCCGCACGCAGGCCACGAGGGGCTGAGGCGCTTCTTGTGCAGGTGCCGACCCGGCCGGGACCCTCACCGCCACCCCCGGGGGCGGCGGCGGCACCCAGGGCTGGGCGGGGCCGGGCCAAGCCCGGAGCAGACGGTTCCCGAGACTCGGACCAAGCGCGCGCCCCCCGGCCCCCGCCCGGCGGCCCATCCAGGGGCGGCGGCCCCGATGAGCTCATGGGGGCGGGGCGCTGGGAGCCCCGCCCCCGAGCCCCCTCGGGGGCCGCGAAGCTGGGTGGTCCCGGACACCGCGGCCCGCGGGTCGGGAGCCCGCACCCGCCGCGCCGACCGCCATCCCCCGGCGGGCACAGACCCGAGGCCCCCAGACGCCCCGGCCCGGCCGCGCAGAGGCCCCGAGGGCCCCGTCTCGCAGCCCCCACCCCCGCCCCGGACGACCCCACCTCCCCCCGGCTGCCGGCCCAGGACCCCCGTCCGCGCCCGGCGCCCACAGGTGGCCCCGCAACTTGGCGGCCTGGCTGCGCCCCCTGCGCGGGGCCTAGCGGGACGCGCGGCCTGCGGGCTCGGGGCGCCCCCGCCCGACCCCGCCCGCCCCCGTCCAGCGGGGCTCACCCAGAAGACGAAATTGAAGACGAAGAGCAGGTACTTGATGCACTTGGTGCAGCCCTCCACCCCCATGGCGGCGCGGCGGCGAGCGGCCTGCGGGCTGAGCGGGGCGGGCCGGTCCTGGGCGCGGGGCGCGGGGCCTGGCGGGCGGCGAGGCCGGGGCTCGGGCCCGGGGCGCGGGGCGCGGGACGCGGGACGCGGGACGCGGGGACTCGGGGGCGCGGGGCGCGGGAGGCCGGGCCGGGACGCGCTGGGTGGACCGCCGCCGCTGCGCGCTCGCTCTCTGGCCGCGCGCGCGCCCCCCGCCCCCGCCGCCTGTTATAGGGCGCCGAAGCCCCGCCCACCGGCCCCGCCTCGTCCCCGCCCCTGCCGCCACCGCCCGCGCGTGCAGCTCCTCCCCCCCGCGAGCACGCGCTCGGTCGGGGGTCAGACGCGCGCGCCCCAACCCCCGGGTCGGAGCGAGGGAGGGGGCGGCGCGGAGGCGGTGGGGGGGGCGGGCCTGCGTCCAGGGGCGCCCTGGGAAGACCCTCCCCTGCTGTCGTCCTCCCTCAGGCGCTTTGGGTTGGTTATCCGAGTAGGCTCCCTGGAGGAGGTGATACACCAGTGATGGCGCTGCCCAAAGTGCTCCGGGGTGGGGACCCTGGGTGAGTGAAGAGGCCCACAGTCAGCCGGCCTGGCCTGAAGACCCTGGAACGCGATTCCAGGCCGCCAAGCTCTTGTCCCGGGGTAAGGGGACGTTGTTGAGCACTGTTAGAGGAGTCTGTGTTTGGAAAGGTCACTGAAAGGGTGACTCTGGACCAGTGTTAAATGTCTAGGAGCCCCAAACCACCCATAGGACAAGCTCCAAATACAGTGTACTTTGTGCTCAAGCCGGTGGTGCTAGTCCCCCCAGGAGGCCAGCCCCACAGTGAGACCAGCTTCCTGAGGGAGTGGGGGCCAGGCCCTGCTGCCCTCCCTGCTGGCTGCTGAGGACGGGGAGGGGACCCGTCCCGCAGGGGTCCGCCACCCCCCAGGACCTGGATTTGTCGTGGTACCTCACTGCAGTGTGGGTGGCCATGGGCAGCCAGCCGCTTCAGGGTTAATAGGGGAAAAAATCAAAATGCCATTTACTCAAAGGTGACACAGAAGAACGCCCAGATCTTTCAAAATGAACATCTCGGAAGAATACAGACATTTATCGCTGATTACCTGAGTGGATCTGCCAAAGCTGAGGGCTAAGTCCTCAGAGAAAAGCCTTCCCTGGCCCTCTGGAAGGGGGGCAGAGGGGGCCCACGAGCATGGGATGGGGCAGAACCTTGTATGCTGTGCCCCTGGTGCACTGGCCCTCAAGACAGGTCGGGTCCGGCTGGCGTGTCCTAAGACTAGGCATACATCAGTGGTTAGTGGGTCCCACCTGTGTGCCAGGGTGCTGGCCAGGGCGCTGGCTGTGGGAGCTGGACAGCCAGGACCCCTTCCCTCAAGGACCCCACAACCATCAAGCCAATGCTGGGAAGGATAATTTAAGGGTAGTAGCAGCTGGAGTGCTCCAACGGCACAGGGTACTTGGGGGGTATACAGGGGACCCAGGCCCTGAAGACTGAGAAAGTGCCAGCCAGCCCTGCTGGGTGCTGGGAAGGAGCCTTTGGAGGAAGCGGGACACGTTTGGAGGAAGAGGAAGGGAGCCAGGAAATGGGGGCAGATGGGAGAAGAGAGCTAGATGCTGATGTTGGGGCAGGCGGTGGGGTCGGGGGCCAGCACTCGGGTCTGAAGCCCAGCACGGGGCTGCGTGAGATCTGAGTGTGTGGGGGCGATCGGAGGGTCTCTGCACGGGCCTGGCTTCTGCACTGAATGGGGACACAGGTGAGAGCAAGCTGCCTCCGCCCATAGTGGGGCCACTTCGCAGGCACCGGGGTCTCCCTGGAGAGTGGGCCATGACGTTGTGCGAGGCCACCTGTGGCTGCCTGGCACAGGTGGGCTCCAACTCCGGGTCCGCTTCTGAAGTGCCCTGCCCAGTGGCCCACCAACTTGACCTTGTGAGGACAGCAGGGGACCCACCAGCCCTGTTTCAGGTCCTCCAGAGACGCCACAGGAGGAGATAGAAGGAGGTTCAGGTTACAGACAGGCTCCGGGGCTCAGGAAGCCCAGAATACCCCAGCATCTGCCGCCTGCAAGCCGGGGACCCTGGAGTGCTGGTGGGGTGATTCAGCCCAAGCCTGAAAGTCTGGGAACCAGGGAGCCGGCGGTGTACGTCCCAGTCGGAGGGCTGGAGAAGATGAGGTGGGACACCCCAGGCAGGAACAGGGGGAGAGTCCCCACTTCCTCCACCTTCTGGTCTAACCAGGCTTTAAGGAGACCAGGTAAGGCCCACCTGCACTGGGGAGGGCCACCTGCCAAGTCCACCAACTCCAGCTCCTGTCATCCAGAGACACCCTCCTGGACGCCCCTGGAAATAACGTCCCCTCTGGGCCCCCTGCAGCCAGTCTCCCGACATGCCACACTGAACATCACAGGCGGCTGTGACATGACCCGGGTGGGAGTGATGGGGGCAGGTGGGTGTCCAGGGGGTGCGTCCTGGGAAAGGACAAGCACCCAGAGGGGCTGCACTAGAGAGTGGGGGGGCGGGCCTGCCTGTGCTGTGCCTGGGACGGGGAATGCCCTGCCCTGAGGGGGGATGGTTGCCCTGAGGGCAGGTGGGGCTGCTGGTGTGATGGCCGCAGGAGGGGCAGCGTGGCGGGAGCACCCGGCCTCCACCGCTCCTCTAGGTCTGGCTCTGAGTCTTCTGTGCAACTTGATGCTGGTTCCTCAGTTTCCCCATCTGTGGCAGCTCATCTCCCAGTATTTTCCGGGGGGTGACATGGGAGGACATGTCCAGGCACATGGAGCAGGACCTGGCCTGGGGGAGGCAGGAGGGCTCGGCCTCCTTGGGCTTGCTGGACCCTGAACCTTCTGGGGCAACGGCAAGGGCCTGAGCTCACTGCTCCCACAGGGCACATGCTCTCTTGGGGGAGTCACTGAGCCGCGCCTCTGCGCCTTGGTCTCTTGTGGGAATCAACAAGGACCTCCCAACGACACAAACAGGCTGTTTATGGGGCACGTGCTCCCAGACGGAGTCGGCCACCACCCTTGCAGCGGGCAGAGACCAGGGGGCAGGCCCAGAGCCGGACAGCCTTATAGTTAAAAAAAAAATAAAAGAAAGAAAGAAAGATGGGAAAAGAAAAGAAAGAAAAAAAAAAACGTAAAATCTTGCTGCGAGCAGCGACCCGTCCGCGAAGACATCCCACGGGGACTGCCAGCAGACAGAACAACAGACCCGGCAAAAAATGTAGCAAAGGAGGTGTAACAGTTGTGCGCTCAAAACTTCAAGACGCCCTGGAAAGGACCTGAAGAAGGTCTAACGTAGATCGATACCCGGTGTTCTCGGACTCGCAGACTGTGCTGCCACCGCGCCCCGACTCCCCGAATTCGCCCACAGCCTACACACGGCCGCTGTCGGAACCCCGGCGGGCTCTTCACGGGCTCATCCTAAAGTTCACAGGGGCCCCCCAGGGGGCCCATACAACCTCAAGGAAGAAGAACAAAGTCGTTGGACTGGTGTTTCCTGACGTGAAACCCTGGGAGCTGTGGCCATTGCGACAGGGTGGTGCCCAGCGTGGAGACAACTCAGGAACCCCGGAGCACGCTCGAGAGCCCGGCAACACACCGCGCATTCCTGGCCGGTTGGCTTCAGTGGGGGGCCCTGAGACAATCCAGGGAGACCAAGAACAGTCCTTTCCAGCCACGGTGTTGGGAACCCCTGGGTGTCCACACGCCACAGAGCCAAGGGGCCACACTCCATGCCGTTTCCCCAAACCAACGCAGAATGAGCTGAGATGGGTCACGGTCCTCGGTGTTAGACCATAGTCCTTCATGTGGGACAGCAAAGGCGCGAGCAAAATAAGAAAAAAACACCCAGGTTAGAATTTTAAAACTTCGTCGTGTCAAAGGAGATCACGGAGGACGTGGAAAGGGAACCCACGAGTTGGGAGAACAAGTTTGCAAATCGCAGGTCTGGTAAGAGACGAGTATCTAGGACATGAGAAGAACTCCTCACAGCCCCCTGCCCCCGGAATCAACATTTTTTTTCGGAGAAGACATGAGATGGCCCAGAAGGTCACAGCCTCCCGCCCGCCGTCGGCCACCATGAGAAACAGACGGCAGCGGCGGTAGCGCGGGTCCGTGAGGGTGTGAGGCGACCTGCAGGGCTGGCGGGGTGGGAAATGCCGCCGCCGCCGTGGGGCACAGACAGCAGTTCCTCCAGACGCTAAACTTAGAGTCACCGTGTGACCCGGCGGTTCCCCTACAGGCACTCGAGGGCCCACTGGCAGAGAGTGGGTGTTAGGTGGGTGGTGACGGTTGCACAACCCTGTGAACATGAGAAAAAAGAGAAACAAAACACCACTGAGCTCTGCGCTTTGTTTTGTAATTCTTTTTAAAGATTTAATTTTTCTTTTTAAGTAATGCCTACACCCCCCGTGGGGCTCGAGCTCACTGCGGAGACCCGGAGTCACGTGCTCCACCGCCTCAGCCGGCCAGCTGCCCCCACAGCGTACCCTTGAAATGAGCGGAGACAGTGTGAGTTCTGTCTCCGTAGAGCTGAAAATGGGGAAGTCTCAGGCATGTTCTGATCGGAGGCTGTGGCCGGAGGGAGATGGGGGTGGCCAGCCAGGAGTGGCGCGACCCGTGTGCTTGATTTGGGGGGTCCTGTTGGTGGATGCAGCGGGCCGAGGGGAATCAGACAGACCCAGGGAGAAAGGCGTGTGAAGGAGGAGGCTGAGACCCGGCCGATGCTTCCGCCAGCCCAGCCCTACAGACCAGAAACAGACCCCAGGCGGCTGGACCAGATTCTCCCTCACCCACACCTGGCCTTGGACTCCCGGCCTCCAGACCGCGAGAGACTAAAGGTCCACTGTCTACACCCGCTTCTGAGTTGTGTGGCTTCTGTGCAGCCCCGCGTGGCCACAGGCCCACTGCTGCCCCTCCTGCCACATGGGACGTGGAGTCCCCCAGTCCGGGGCAGTTGCTGGCGGGTCCCGTGCTGGTCCGTCCAGCCCTCATCGAGGGTTCTGTGCTCAGGGAAGACCAGCCTGGCTGGTGCGTCGGTTCTGCTAAGACCCACGGCTGCCCCTTGCATCCAGAGGGATGGCGCCCCAGCGGGGGGCTCGACAGTGACCTGGGGGCAGCCTCGATGGGAGGGGCTTCCTCATCTATCCCCAAAGCTGCTCTGCCCCAGGGCCGGGGTGGGGGGGCAGCAACT